CATCTCAATGTTCCGTGCTGCCATTGTTCATGTGTTTAGTGTTGCCAACGGCACACTCAGTTGTCCGACATTTGGTGTTTCCATTGTTCCCTTGAGTCAAGCTTTGCCGCCCATCGCAGGTGCCTCATGAGGGGCCGATGCTGCTTGGCCAATCAGTGCGTTGGGGGTCGCTGTGACAAGCCCGCGCGCTGCGCCAAAGCCAGCTGCCCGCGTACATGCAACGGCCACCCCCAAGTGTTTGTGGATAGGATACCAACACCACCGCTGCTTCTGAAATTTGGCTGTGACACAACAGCATGTTGCTTCTCCCGGGCGAGCACTTCCTGAGCAACGCGTCGCATAAGTTGAAGCTTGCCGCTCTCGGCTTACCGCATTCCCATGGCTGACTCTCCCTACAACTAGTATGTACCTGGATTAGGCAAACAGCGTGGAAGCTTTGGGGACTTAGGCTTATGCGCTCTTCTTTTCTTGATCCGAATGGTCTAAGGAACTCATTATGTGCCTTTGGGTAGGTAATTTATTGCACACCCTTTGTTGCATTCAACATGCATTTGGGGCTTTGCGGTATAGAGTGCGTGGTTGGATAGCGGGTGGCGTCCCATTGCAAGTACATTGTTTGGTAAGGCTTGTCCTCTTTCCAGTTCAGTACCACCGATTCTACAATGCTCCAACTTTGGTTCCACGTGTTTCTCACGCGCGCCGAGGTGTGACCTCCTCTGGTCGGACCCCGATGACCGCTGTGGATGGGGCATCTCCCCGCGAGGCGGGTCATGGTACGAGTCCAGATGGCGTCGGCACAGTGGTTGGTCCAAGCACCGGATTAATGTTTGTGTTGTTGTTGAATTCCATCAAATATGCAATGAGGAGCAGAGTTGTTTTGCTTGTTCGTTCGTGCATGTTTTTTTTGGTGTGTGTGAGTGTTTTTTTTGTGTGTTTTTTGCTTGTTTGTTGGTTGGTTGGTTTGTTGGTTAGTTGGGTTAGCTTCTTGTTTGGTAGTGTTCGTCTTTCTTCCTGTCTGTCTGTGGGTTGGTCTGTCTGTCTATTTGTGTTTCTGTGCCTTCGCCTTTTTGTTGTGTGTTTATTTGTTTGGTTCTGGGGATCACAGAGGGTGCGCATGTTCTTTCGGAACCTGTGAACTTTGTATCCCTGGATCGGCTGGTGCAAGAAAGACCGGACAGGATCTTGATTATTGGGCAGGTGCAAGTCAGATTGTTAGAAGACCATGACATCGTAGTTGTGCAAGATTGCGTGCCAGTGCGCCTATGGCAAGTAATTCTTTGTTTGGCCAGTTGTTGTTATGATGCGGTTGCTTGAGCATGTGTTTGCGCAAGGGTTGCTGATGCAGCAGTGAGGGCCACGAACATTTATTTTTGATTTGCACAGAGTCTATAGATGACAAGCGGAAGCCGATTCATTGAAACTGAGACAGGCATGGTTGCCTTTCCATTCCTTTGCGGCCTAGTTGTTCGGGGGGGAAACCTCGTTTGGTTGTTATTGTATTCCAAGGAAACCAACAGAAGAACAATTCAAGAAGTTGAAGGTCCCCTAAGCTTGAGACAGCCGATGTGCAGCGTTCGCTCACCCCTCACCAGGAGCTGGGTACACCTTCGGTCAGGACATCTCAGAACAGAAGCTCGGATGCAACCAGGGCTCTTAGGAGGGTTGCCCCGAGATGCCCAAGGGTACGGTTGATTTCCTAAATGCAAGTTGGAGCCCATGCTGAAACCCAGCAATTTACCTCAATTTGCCAGTGTCATGTTTAGGGAATCAAGGGTATGAGGTGAGTTGCATATATCCCGTTCGCAAACTTGACGAGATCGGGTTTCGCAGTCGGGATCGCCCCCTCTTAAAACAACAGGGTTGCTGTGTCCCTTTCCCCAAAAATGATCAACAAGGGATGTGTTTTTCTTTGAGGGTACCCTTGTTTAGGTTGTTTTTTAGGAGAAACCCACCCTTTTGCGGGGGTTCGCTCAAAAAGACCATTGCTTTGTGTCGTTTAGCTTCCCCACACCTGTGCCCAAATTCGGACCTCACGAGGGGTTCATACAGGTTGGAGGCTAGGGGCACCCCGTCGAGTGACTTCCAACCAGAAACCCCAAGCGTTGAGTGGGATAGATAGCCACTATATGGCCAAGGGGCAGAACCTATGGCTCCATTTTGGGGTGGATGAACATCCATTTGCCACCTATTTTGATTTTCACCAGGGGTACAGGGATTTGACCCACAGCCATATAGCCAGAAACTTAAAAAAGTCATAAACCAACATGAGCCAATGGCTTGTGGGGGGTCCCCAGTTGAGGAACCACATAGACGTAACGTGCAAATTTGCCGAGTAGTGGACATGCTACCATGGCGGGGCCATGGCCATTGGCGAGCGCCCGACACCCTTCTCGGCCAACTTGTTGTCAAAGGTTCTTGTAGTTGGGCATGTGTGTGTGTGTGTGTGTGTGTGTTTTTGCTTGAGGGGACCCTTGTTGGCTTGTTTTAAAGGGAAACCGAGAGGAAAACCTCATTGTTAGAGTCCCCCTATTTTGATATCATGACCATTTTATTTACATGGACCAAAGATTCTGAAGACAGCCATGTGGGACTACAATGCCCTGTGTTTATTTTTGCTGGGCATCAAGCAGAGATCCTGGATCTCTTGCTTTCTCCCTTTTGGACCTCCAAAACTGGCACTTTTATTGCCCCGGGATCCCGAGGCAATTCTTTCACGGTATGTTTCTTCAAGTAGAAGCGAGTTCCGACCCCTAGGCAAAAGATTGGGGATGGGAGGCAGAGGCCACGCGGCATGTGTTGTTGCGATATTCTTGGTGGCTTTCCTGCATATAAGGGTAAGTGCAACACTAGGGAGGCCTGTCTCCCAAAAATGAGAGATGTGGTTTTCCTTTGGTCCTTTCGAATCCCAAAAAAGGAGCACCCTCAAAAAACACACCCATAATTATCCATATGTTTGTTGTCCGTTTCCTTGAACCCCCCCCGCTCCAGAACAAGGGGTGGATGCCATCGGATGGGCTCGGCGGATGCCTCAGGTTTAACCACGCCAATGGGCTGAAGCTCATCGCGCGGGCGCACCAGCTGGTCATGGAGGGCTACAACTGGTGCCATGACAGGCGAGTCACGAGTGCCACGAGTCACGAGTCAGTCGGCGACATCCCCCAGGTGTGATGCCGTAAGAACCGTTTTGTTCTGAGAGGGCGTTTTTTAGCGAAACCAGGGGCCCTCAACGGGAGATGGACAAACTTCTGCACATCAAATGATTGCATTTTTGCTGGCTTGCCTTGAATCATCCGCCAATTTAGGCCGTCTCGCGCATTTGCCCGCAGGCACGTGGTGACAATTTTCTCAGCACCCAACTACTGCTACAGGCCGGGCCGAACATTTCAATCTGATTGCGTGGACATGTCTCGCTCCTGGCAACCTGAAAACTTCCCGATGGGTGCCCCTCGGTCAGTTTTCTCAGTTTTCGCCGCCAAAAAGTCAACCCTCCAACACGCAACTGGTAGATGTGCATGTGCGAAAGAAGAGAATTCAATTTTGGCTGCGCTGAGATCTGAGGCGTTTGCCGGACTTGGCCGGCTTTTTTTGCATAGGGGTTGCTTGGGTTGTGTTTGTTTTCCCATGGATGGCAAAAGGCCACCCTTTTAAGACCCCGGCTCGAGATGCTTTGCTTCGCCAGGTGTGGAAATCAAGCCGCCGTCATGGAGATTGATGAGCACCTGAAGCAACCCGGCAAGTCCCATCGGTGGTGAACCGGGATCTCTGTCGGACCTGAGCAGCGTGCATGTGGATACCGTTAGCAACGGCCACAAAGGGGATGGCATGTGGCATGGGGCACACTTCCAAAACCACCATGTGCAATATGTTGTCATCCCTCGCTCATACGGACTCATACGTATAAATCCAACATCAGTTGGGTGCACAAACTGACGAGAGCACATCTGGATGGCGTCGGGAAGAAGAGGGGTGCTCCGGCGTGGGTTGTGGGAGGCGTGTGGAGTCGAATCTGACACCTCAGGTACACCTTTTTGCAGTTCGACCCACCTCCCGTCCAGAAGGACGCCGCACACCGCGGCTCCCGGCAAAGCATTCTTGGACCCTGTAATGACAGGCACGGCACGATGTAACAAGAAGATGCTTCGGGGCGTTCAGGGTTCAAGTGCATGAGCAGTCCTTGACAAGCCACCACGCATCCTTCGCGGGAAGCTTGACATCGCATGCTGTTTTGGAGGGCACACATGTTGTTTTGGAAAGGGAACCACCGGGCAGAGACAAAATATGCTGGTTCGCCCAGTTGGAGACAGGCCCGGATCAGCTCAGCCAGAGATACAACCGATCAGATCACCCATTGCATGGCTCCGCCAAGAATCAGGAGATCCCAGCAGAAGGAGTGAAGCGCACACCCGACTACTTTCTTTGAGTGGAGAGGCAACTTGCAGATGGCCGACCCAGCAGACTGGACAAAAGGATCTGCCAGGGAGAGAGAGATGTGCCATGGTCACAGATTCACCCAACCAGCAATCTGACGCAATATGGCCGGTCTAAGTACTGACTTGCTCCTATCGTGAAAGTCAACCTGTTCCTATCTTGAAAGTCAACGTGTGTAGGAATGGCTTACAAGCAGCATGTTTCGTTTCATCCCTCGCTTTGTCAAGGCCCTCTTTAGCATTCTTTCTTGGGGTGAGAGGTTCATTCATATTTTACCAAGCTGCCTACATTTGGCTGCTGTCTCAAATGACTATCAGCAAGCAGCTTCGTCCTAGCACCCTTCAACATCAGTATTCTCCTGACTTGCAGCATGTCCTGATTCAATGTGCATTTATTCTTCGCATTGTCAAGAAGCACGTCATGCTGTATTAAGATTGCCAATGCTCTCGAAGCCCTGAGCCGTTCTATTTGGAGGCCACTGATTTCTTGAGCAGAAGGTGGATCTTCCAGATTCCAAGCCCTTCCCATTGTCGGGTTTTCCAGAGCCCGGATCTGGTTCCCAAACGTCCCAGGTCACCACTCAAGGCTTCGTGGACTTGGGCAAGCTCGCAGCCTTCCTGAAGCAGGCGCTGGTAAGACGCCACTAAGTTCTGAAGCCTAAGAGCCCTGAAGAAAATCTAAGAACCTGTCCTTGTTCTCCGTGGGGTGATCTCCTGTTTTCTCCATTCTCTCACAATGCGTGTGCCCGGGAGTTTGGCTTTATTTCTCCACTTGTCACTCCGCAGCCTCCCACTCACAAGGCACCTCAAAGGGAGTCCCCTTCAAGAGGAACAACATCTTCCAGGCGCCTTTCAGCTGCTAAACCACCAGGGCACAAAATCGAAAGATCATTCTGATGTCCTTTCCCAGGTCCAACTGTCTACCTTTGCGACCGGTGGGGTCGAATGGGAGCCGCCATGTTTCCGGGCACTCTCAGATCAACGTGTTGAAACCCATTTGATGGGTTTACCTTCAAGGAGATTCCGCCAACGGCGGTGGTTTAGGTTCCACGCTCGCTCGCCGCCGCACCGCCCATGGGAAGTGGAAGGGCTCTTCCGGCGCGCAGGAAGCGGGGGTTCCGCCGCCCGAGAACGGCGGCAAGGCCTTCGAGTTCCGGGGAGGTGCCAATGGCTGGGAGCTGGGCGTGTCTTGGGGTAGATTTGAGGGGTGGCTGGATATGGTGTGTGTGTGTGTGTCGTTTTTTTTTTGGTGGGAACCTAAAAAATGGTTGGTGTCCTTTTGGCTTCCCTTTAAAATCAGCCAAAAGCAGGGTACCTCAAAGAAAACACACCCATACAGACCAGAGGCAGAAAAACATGTTTTCTGTGAGCTTTTGTGGGCCAAGTTAAAACATTGGGCGCTAGTGCTTTTTTGGTGTCCTCTTTAAAACACTCCAAAAGGGGTATCCTCAAAAAAAACACACACACACACACATATGTGCCATCGTCGAGATGTGTGCCTTGGGTCTGTTTGTGGGGATGGTCATGAGACCCCACTTGCTTTCAAGGCTTACTCTCGGACTTGTCAGCCGGACAACCCCAGAGGAGTCCCCATTCAAGTGTGAGTGAATGTCATCATTGAATAGAGGTGTCGCATTCCGGACTCCAAAGATGTCGCACATATCCGGCAGCTAGAGTTCGGCATTGTCAATGGCACTTTGTGCTGGAACCCCTGCTGTGTTGTGTTGCAATGGGTGGGGGACGATAGTATGTTGGCAAGCGCCTTAGGCCATTCAAGTTGAGATTTGTCCGCAAGCAAAACTGGGCAGCAGTTGGCGAAGGCATGCTACTTGAGGAGCTCTTGCATGAAGCAAATAGATAGTCGTTGCTCGTCAGAAGTGTCAGCTGTTGCGACTGTCGATGGGGCAAGCCTTGTGCTTTGTCTTGTGGCTTTGGATGTGTAGACGGTTTGGGGCTGGCCAGGGGTTTGTCCCTTGGACCTTTAGGAGAGGGACTTTTTACTTCCCAGATCCTCCCCTTCAAGTTTTTTTTTTTTTTTTTTTTTCTCGCGGGTCAAGAGGTGCACCGGTGGCAAGCGGGTAACCCTAGGACCCAACAGCGAGTGCAGCAGCCTGGATGCTCGATCGAGTTGATTTGGGGAGTTGGCCCTTATGTGTTCTGGAAGCAAACAGAAGAAACAAGGGTCTTCCGTGGGGCAAAAGATGAATGCAGCTTTTGCCTGTTCCCCTGAAATGGCTCATGCTTTCCTCACTGTTTTGCAAAGGATGGCTCCCGCCCTTGTTCTGGCCGGATTCCTTGGCCCCTCGTGTTTCCGCACTTGCGTGTCCACTGAAAAGTAACGTATGGGACCAGTGGGAGAACAAATGTAGTTGAACAACCATTTTGGGGAGCATCCCACATTTCAGAGAGCAGGCACAGAGTTCTGAAGAACCAACGATTTTGGGGAGCGTCCCACATTTCAGAGAGCAGGTATAGAGTTCTGAAGAACTGCGACACTCTCACCCGCCCCAAACAGCTAGCCTGGAAGCTCAGGAGGCAACCCCTTTGGAAAACCCTTTCCGTCTCCTGGCCACTGCAGAGCTGGGGATCTTGGGGCTGTTTGGAAAACGACCCAGCGGACCCTTTGGCCGAATGAATCAACGGGCGACCGGGCGACCGGGCGATTGGGCGGGCCGGGCGTCGGTTGTGGAGGCGGTTTGGAGTTCCGGGACGTGCACTACAACTATGCCCAGGCCTCTGTGCTGCAGGGAACCTCCCTGGCGCCCTGGCCACGTTTGAACGGGCGCCGAGCTGGGAGCTGGGCTTCGAGTGAGTGATCCACATGGCTTAATCATATGTATATATATATATACATATAAATATACATTATGTATGTATATATATATTTGTTCATTGTTTTACGTGTCTCTTCCTGTCACAGAACACCCAACTTCCTCGAGGCTCTCAATGAGGTTGCCCAGAGATGTTTGTCCCTTCAAAGAGGCTGACCCAGTTTTGATACGTACCTTGGGCGGTTGCCCCCGGACCAATTTTGAGACCATCCAGTCATCCAGTCATCCAGTCATCCAGTCATGCAGTCACCAGCAACACGGTCTTCTAACACGAGTAGACCTGCACCGGCCAGTGGCTGGCCTTTCAGACCATCCAACATAAGACTTTTCGGGCCAACTTCCAAGATGATCAAAGGAACCACGGCTGCCGCCAACAAGCGGATGGTTTTTAGACTCCAATTTGCCGCAAACTCGCCAGGTGGTGCCCGCGGGTGCCAAGGTGGCCATCGTAGGGCCCAGCGGCGCCGGCCTCATTTGGAGCCCAAGAGAGGCGGCCAGGGGCTCCCGGAAGGTGGTTGTTGAGGTCTCCCCCCTTTTGGGAAACTAACACTTAGAGGGTAATTTTGAGGTGATCACCGTTTCGGGGTTCTCCATGAAATCCGCGGTTAGCTTGAAGGATGACCCGACCAGATGGCCCAACTGGCCCCACTGCATATCACTGGATGCCATGCGTGAAATGACAGCGGGCATAGGCTGCCCCCGTCTGGAACCCAACAAGACAGCCAGACCAATTCAAGCGAAGAGTGGATTGGTTTGGCTGTTTTGCTCTCGGAGGTTCGGGCAAGAGCACGCTGCTCCGCTTGCTCTACCGCTTTGCAGACCCACAGATGGGCCAGGCGCGAACTTCCAAAGGCTCAGCATGTTGACTGGCTTAACTATGCGTGCAGATGGCTCTGGATTATCAAGGAAGGGTTACGGAGATTGCAAAATAGGGAGCAGTGATTTCAGGCACGGAAGTTGCTCGATCTGCTCACAGACCTGTACGTCCACGAGATGGACCTGACGAGTCAACTAGTTGATGCGTGTCAGCCGGATTGCTGATACTCAACGCATTAATATGTTGTTTGTATTATAGTCTGTGTATATTGTATGTGCTTTGAAGCCACGTATATCAGGGTTGAGAATTGGTTTGGCTACCTCTATGTATACTGTATGTAATTTCCTCATATTTGTCAAAGTAAAAAAATAATTTATCTTCCCGTGCTTTTCCAGGGGCCAACCCTTGTGCCATGGGTTTTGGCGCAACATATGCTTCTCCCTCGAGGCCTGCTTCGCCAATCGGCCAGGTCCTCATCGATGGCCAAGACGTGAAGACGTTGGACCCCAACTTCCGGAAGTACCTGGGCATCGTGCCGCAGGAGTCCAGCGATTCGAGAAGAGCAGCTGGCTTCTTTGGAGCTCAGTGGCCACTTTTGGAGTTCCCCTGGTGAGGACGAGCAAAGGGGAAGCACTTCTTTCTCCCCGTGTCACAAAAGGCAGAGTGGCTCAAGGCAGTATGGTCTTTGTGGGCGGGTCTCAGTTTCGAAGTCACTTCGGTGAAGACGCACGAACCTAGGCTGCTTTCAAAGTCTGCCTCAAGGCTACGGCAGCTGGGCTCTTGCTTCGTGCCACTGATTGCTTTCCCGCTGCTGAACTCTGAATGTAAATGCTTCGCGCTGCCCGCCTTGGTCAGGGCCTATTTGATATATCTCGTCTGTCTGGGGAAGCTGGACAGCTGGCAAGAAACGACGTTCATGCCTCCCATGCGTGAAAGTCAGCTGCGTGAGAGTATCCACTTGGCACTGAAGGACAGCCATCAAGGGCAAGGGACTGGGGTTGGGTGACTTTGTCTAAGGGCGACAGCTACAGCCACATTCTGGGCGCAAGGAAGAGGGCTGGAGCTACCAAGGAAGGCAAAGCCTCAAAGAACAGCCACGTGGCGCAAGGCTGGAGGGCTACAGCCTTGGTCCACAGGTAAGGGGCTAGGGCTTCCGCGGTCTCAACGCAGAAGGTAAGGAACAGTCCGGGCAGCGGGAGGCTCAGTACGAAGGGAGCCTGCAAAAGCATTTCTCTTTGCTTCCCTTTGATTCTGATAAGGGTGCCCTGGCAAATGGATTTGGGCAGGTTTCGGCTGAGACTCGAACTCTTTCCGTGGCAAGGACTGCGCGCTCTTCAATGACACAGTTCGCAGATAGCTCAGCGGGGTGAAGAACTGGGTGTACAGTTTCCTGACTGCACTGATGAGGCATTCTAAGACCGGCGGGTGTTTGCGCGCGTGCTGCGAAAGTCGCCGTGTGTGCGCTTGAAGTGTGAGCCCAGAAGCTGGGATCTCGGCTGACACATCAGCGTCGGAAAAGCGAGCCACCAGCTGGCCACCTCAAAGGTGGGGAGGGAGATGCGCGGCTGAGGTTTCAACATCTGCTACGGGCGGCCAGAGGCCTCGGATGCGGAGGTGGGGTGGGCCTGGCACGGGAGTTGAGACGCCATGGATAGTTGGACAACTGCGCCAAAACCTGAAAGATGTAGATGGGGTTGTTTACCAACCAATTGCCAATGGGAGTTTTTCAACATGACACATTGTTGGCAGCGTTCACTCTTCCACCCTCCACCCGAACGGACGACGTGGAACCTGAGGGAAGGTATTCATCTTTGAGCCCATGTGTTCTGTAAAGGGCCGTGTATCAGTATCAGGTGTCATGTTAGTGGGTGGGGCATGACAAGGAGTCGAGCAGCCAGGCAGGAACTACTTGCTTCACGGGCTGTCAATATGATGGAATTCGCACGTCTTTGCTTACAGAGTTGCTTTGTGTGCATCAAAATATCAGGTCGGCGACGTTGTTTGGATATTTTCCCTGGTGCCGGAATCAGGCTACCCCTGTTGAGTTGTTGCTCATCGAAACTTATGTTAGTTGTCAAAATTATGAGTTCAACAGTTCATGGGCACCTCAAAAGCACGTGGTATATATACGTTGCTTGCAACAAAAAAACACATGAACGCATTGCAACAAGCAGGTTTTGCTCGTGCTGATCTTCACCATTTCCAGAAACCTCTCCATCAACTGAGCAATTGGCAAAGCTGCAGTGTGCAGTTTCTGATGTAGCCACAAATCTTAGTAGGGAACCACGTGAACAGGTGGTTGGTGGACATGAATCCCCATCATTGAAATTCACACCCAGTTGCCCAAAGCCACTTGCTCGCCATTCATGAAACTGGCAAACTTTCGGAGGCCATGAATCAGGGCTTTCGAAAGGCCAAGACCCACAGATTTCCGCGAACCAGACCCAAAAAAAAGGGTCTCAACCTCAACCTCGGGAGGTAGAGCGGGCAGCTAGCCTGGCCCAAATCCACGAGCACATCGCCTCAATGCCAGAAGGCCGGGTGCAAAAGCGAAAAAGGGCGGGTTGTTGGCAAGTACTGGGTCATGGATGTGATTTGATCCGTTGTCTAGGGGAATCACAGTCAGAAACGGCTTCCTTCTCTGAATCTACCACTGTTATTTTGTTTCCGCGGTGGCCCGATAGTTGGTTTGAGCCACCACACCCGCTAGCGCTTTAAACTTTGAGACAGGTTGTTGGGGAAATGTGGGACGCAATTAAAGCCTTAGCCTTCCGAAAATCCTGACTCTGAGTGCATCTCAATCTAAAAGCCGGCTATCCCACAAGACAAGGCATTGGTTGATGGATGTGTATGCCACACTCAAATAGGGAAACCCGGATGTGTAAAATAATGGACTTGCTAGCATGGAATCGTTAAGAATTGGAGGCCGTGGAAAAATGGTAGTGGTCTGTTTGTGTTTGTGTGTGTGTTTGTGTGTTTGTGTGTTTGTGTGTGTGTGTGTGTGTGTTTGTGTGTTTGTTAGCTTGCGTGTGTTTGTTTGTGTTTGTTGGTGTTTGCTGTTTGTGTGGGTGTGTTTGTGTTGTCTGTGTGTTTGTGTGTTTGTGAGTGTGTTTGTGTTTTGTGTTTGTGTGTTGGTGTGTTGGTGTTTTTGTGTGTGTGTGTGTATTGGTGTGTTTGTGTGCTTGTGCGTGCGTGCGTGCGTGCGTGCGTGCGTGCGTGCGTGCGTGCGTGCGTGCGTGCGTGCGTGCGTGCGTGCGTGCGTGCGTGTGTGTGTGTGCGTGTGTGTGTGTGTGTGTGTGTGTGTGTGTGTGTGTGTGTGTGTGTGTGTGTGTGTGTGTGTGTGTGTGTGTGTCTGTGTGTGTGTGTGTGTCTGTGTGTGAGTCTGTGTGTGTGTGTGTGCGTGTGTGTGTGTGTGTGTTTGTTTGTGTTTGTTTGTTTGTTTGTTTGTTTGTTGGTGTGTGTGTGTGTGTGGGTCTGTGTGTTTGTGTGTTTGTGAGTGTGTTTGTGTTTTGTGTTTGTGTGTTGGTGATTTTGTGTGTGTGTGTTGGTGTGTTTGTGTGTTTGTGTGTTTGTGTGTTTGTGTGTGTGTTTGTGTGTTTGTGTGTTTGTGTGTTTGTGTGTTTGTGTTTGTTTGTGTTAGTTTGTTGGTTGGTGTGTTTGTGTGTTTGTGTGTGTGGGTGTGTTTGTTTGTTTGTTTGTTAGCTGGTCTGTTTGTGTGTTTGTCTCTGCGTGTGTGTGTTTGTCTGTGTTTGTTTGTGTTTGTTTGTGTTTGTGGTCTTGTGTGTTTGTCTCTCTGTGTGTGTGGTTGTGTTTGTGTTTGTGTGTTTGTTTGTTTGTGTTTGTGTTTGTGTTTGTGGTTGTGGTTGTGTTTGTGTGTGTGTTTGTGTTTGTGTTAGTTTGTGTGTGTGTGTGTGTTTGTGTGTTTGTGTGTTTGTGTTTGTGTTTGTGGTTGTGTTTGTGTGTTTGTGTGTGTTGTGTTTGTGTTAGTTTGTGTGTGTGTTTGTGTGTTTCTGTGTTTGTTTGTGTGTTTGTGTTTGTGTTAGTTTGTGGGTGTGTTTGTGTGTTTGTGTGTTGGTTTGTGTGTTCGATGTGTGTGGTTGTGTTAGTTTGTTAGTTACAAACACACCAAAAAAACACAAACACAAACACACAAAAACAAACAACCACACAAACACACACACACACACAAAAAACACACACACAAAACACAAAAACTGAAACACAGAAACACAGAAACACAGAAACACAGAAACACAGAAACACACACACACAGTGTTTTGTTTGTGTTTGTGTTGTTGTGTGTTTGTCTCTGTGTGTGTGTTTGTGTGTTTGTGTGCTTGTGTGTTTGTGTGTTTGTGTGTTTGTGTGTGTGTGTGTGTTTGTGTTTGTGTGTTTGTGTGTGTGCGTTTGTTTGTGTGTGTGTGTGTGTTTGTGTGTTTGTGTGTGTCGTGTTTGTGTTAGTTTGTTAGTTTGTGTGTGTGTTTGTGTTTTTGTGTGCTTGTGTGTGTGTTCGTTGCGTGCCCATGCCGGGCGAGGCAGCAAGCAAGTGGTCCTATCGGATCCTATCCATTTGCAATGGGTCATCACCTTGGCTGGGGAATGAAATGCACATTAAGTCCTGTTTCGTGGGACAAGCATCGTGCAGTGGTCGCTCGCTTGTCTCAGCCTCGCCTACACATCTCTTCTTGCAAGCTAGCTGGGCAGGTCTTTTGGCCGAGTTAAGACTCCCAAGGGCGGAGAAAGCTGAGAAACCACTACCCCGCTATTGCGCTAAATAGCACAGCTCATACAAGGTTGAGGACGTGGGAGTGGGAGTCAACTGTCTGGACCTTGCATGTACCCCGTACAAAAGCCCCCCAAGGCGGCCCTAGACCTTCTTGTGCCAACCATCAACGTGGGAGGCCTCCCCATTGGCTGGTTCAGCAGCGAATGCGCAGGCTATGACACGCCGGTGGGCGAGCGGGGCATGAAGCTTAGTGGAGGAGAGCCGGGCACTCAGCTCGTTACTGGAGGACCTCGACAGCGCAAGAAAATCAAGGCAGGGGTTGAGAGCCACAAGCATCAAAGCAGTGGTTGGGGAGAAACAAGGGACAAGATGGACAAGTCGGTTTAGCAAGAAACCGAAGGCCGTAAACCTACAAACCTTGAATGCAGTGGTTGAGAGCCACAAAGCCAGGGGCAGATTGGCTAAACAAAGCACGGAACTGTGGCAAGAAATTCATGGGGGGTTTGGCACCAGAAGCCAATGGATCAAAGAGACGGGCAAACGACACGAACGGCGAAGATGCCTTGTGCACACTGCCCCAACTTCAAGGACACAAGCCGAAAGAGAATACTATTTCAAAGCAAGATGGGTGGTGTTGTGGCAAAAACAGCACGCAAGTGCTGAAGAGGAAGCCCTTTGCATTTTCTTGGCATTTTGGCGCACGTGCCTTTTATTCTTTCCGAAACAAATGAAAGTTTGCCGAATCCGTTTTATGAACTGAAGGGTTGTTGCTAAACCGAAGCCTTGAAAGTGCACCTCACCATATTTGCGAGTCGGTCTTACAACAGATTGCCCTGGCGCCTTGGTTTGTCGAACAGTTTTTGAAGCTGGGGAAAAGTGTGTTGGGGTTCAGCCACCTGGCGCCAAGTTGGATTATTGAACTTCAAGTATATTTAGCTGAAGTTGATCGTGTGTTATCAGGATTTGTTCACGCAATGTCCATGGGCAACCCACTGTGCGGATCAGCCAAGACCCAGGCGGCAACGCATCGGCATCGCCAGATGCTTGCTTGCAAACCCGCCCGGCACCCCAGGCATGTTGCCAGGATGGTGTGATTGGGCTGAGTCAGCCATGTCGTAACGAACTTGTCATAATGTAGCTTGCTCTCATGAATGTTGCGAAAAGAAGCCAGGATAACTAAGAGGCGCAATGGCTTTCACTTTTTGGGGGGGAGGGGCTTGTTTGGGCTCCGGCACCTATGTCGTGCCCCGAGGTGTTACTGTTCTTTGGCCGGTCGCAGAGTCGTCTCGTTTGACCTCGAATGCACTCAAAACCAATTCTGACAGAACCCTGAACAAACGCTGAAGCTCAACTCAACTTTTGCAGCTTTAACCCAACCTGCTCTACGACAACCCTCAACTCATGCCAAGCCCACCCCCCAAGCCAATCCTGGTCGGGTTTTGCGCCCTGCCTGCTGACAATGTCAGCCTGCCCGACTGCGGGGGCCAGACAGTGTTGAGCAAATTGCCTTTCAAGCAAAACCGCGTTTCCGCCGAGGTCCGTGGTTTTGCTGGACGAGGCCACCAGCGCCCTGGACGTGCGAACAGAGCGCGCCTTGAGCGAGGCCATGGAGAAGCTCATGAGAGGCGCGGGCCGAAGGCGGCCAACACCCAGCGATTTTCAGGCGCTTAGTTGGTGGTGCTCAGCCAAAAATGAGAAATGGAAAAACCCCGAGACAAACCATTTATGGTTTCCTGGAAGGGAATCCCCAGGTTCATTCCCACATTCCCTAATGTGTGCCAACTAGGGGGAGGCGGATATTTGCCACTTTGGTGGGTGGGGTCTACCTGTGGAAAAAGCAAGGATTACAGTAAGCCTATAGAAACCTTGAACCATCTTAGTAGAACCAAAAGTAAATGGGTGTTGGGCGCTGCCATCTTCCCATCCGCTTAGCATGGAACTGAGTAGGGGGTCTTCAGGAAGAGGATGTTCCTTTGGTCCTTTCCATGTTAGTGGACATCATGGTAGCAAGTAGGTTACAACGATGGCTACAAGTGGCTCAACAGGGGTTGGGTGACAAGGCCGCAGTTGCATACTATTTACTACGCGGTTTGACCATTCAACCTTGAAGGGGGTTGGCGCAGCAGTTGGGCGTCGGGGTTGACGGAGAGCTGGGTTTCGTGGCTGAGGTTTTTCCACATACGATCAATGTCAAAAACCAAGAGCACCGTCCCTCTTGATTTTTTAGAACAACCCAGCACATGGGAGGAGGAAGGCCTGAGTGTGTGACAAGGTTGACTGTGGGGTGTCCCCTGTTAGCGAGGCTTTCTCATTTGGCCATGGGTCATAATGCCATACCTCCAGTGAACATCCCAATCCCCACTAAAATAGACTAAAATGGGTGGTGCACCTCCCCAACATGGTACCATTGGTTTTGACCCACAGCCATTTAACAGAAGCTTTACCAAATCCATTGAAGGATTTGGTTGCAGGAAGATCTGCAAGGATCTCCCTCTGATTTCTTTTCGCCTGGGGTTCCCGCCGCAGGGCGCACAGCGCTGATCGTGGCGCACCGGCGCGCCACCGTGGAGCGATGCGACCTGGTCGCTTTCCTCGAGGCACGGGTCTGGCTGGGTTGGGGGCTTGTGGGGACCTGCAAACACTGCTGCACCGTTTTGACACGGCTCCCAGAATTCAAGTGGACGAGGGGCATTAAAGCCCTCCGTCAGGTTCTTTCATGTCGTCCGCTGGTTTTGTCAGCAATCTTGGTTCGAAGTCCAACAATCAGCTGAGCCACAATCAAAACCCGAGTAGATGAAGGTTAGTACGGGGCGGTCCCAGCCAGAAATAGTCACGGCCGCCTTCTTAATTCTTTACATGGTTCTGGGTAGACCATTTTACTACCAGGTTTTGATTGTGACTCAGCTGCTGTTAATGGTCGGAGGGCAACCCTATTAAGGGTGTCAGTGAGGAATGTGAATCTTCATAGTTGGACCGCAAGAGCCTCCGCAGCGCACAGACACGTCGACGCGATTTTTGTTGGAAGTTGCTTCGCGTTAGTCAGCTGTCGTCCCAGAATTTGTAATTTGTTTGCATACTCAACAGGACCAAGTAACACAAGGATTTGACTTTTTCCCCATGACCCCATGGGTTCAAGCGTTCTCGTGACAGCCGGATGTTCGTGGCATCCAGATTCCCGCCAACAAAACACACTGACCCCCAAAAGCAACAAAGGTAGAGGTTTGCTGCATTCGTATCAGGGTCGCTTAAGAGCATATCAATGCCATGAACCACTCCAGGCAACCTGCAGGTGCTTGGTCGCCTGCTGCACAGTGTTCAGAACCCTGTGCGGACATGGCTATGTTTCGGATGTTGACTGGTTCCTATGCTCCGGCTCATTCCCAGGATGGCGCAGTCCGCGAGCAAGGCCCGCATCAGGCACGGGCGGATGGGGTAATCCCTCGCAGCTTGCGATACCTTTTTTTCTGCAACCTCTGCAAAGAGCCGGAAGTTAAATGAAAGAACTGTGCAGCTGTCATGTCACTATGCCTCTTTGGAATTCAGATACACTCAGAAAAAGAGAAAGTGGTTCACTGTTGGAGAAGGAGGGAAGACCTGATCAACTTTGTGTTGTGTTTCATACATCAGGTTTGCCTCGAGGTTGCCCAGGATCTGCTTTTCCAATATGCATCGGCCGTAGGGGATGGCGCGAAAGGTTAGTGAGTCAACTCGAGAAGTCAAAATTTCCTCGTCCCCCTTCAAATTCAAAGTCATTTTCTTCTGAGAAGCTGGGCTATGATCGGGGAGTAGGTTGGCTTCAGGTTGCAAGCTTCTTGGCTGAGCCAACCAAATGCTGTTTTGTCCAAGCTGGGCCAAGCTGGAATCGTTTCTCGGGAAATCGGCTGGGGCGAACCAAGTTGGATCCAACCCCCCACGCATTGGACCTGGCAGATGACAATTGCTTGATTCGCCAAGATCCGAAGCAAGCACTGTCACATCCACACTGTGGGGGAGTAGCTGGAGGATCAATTGTCTCTTGTTCTCTTTGAAGGGACCCCTCTCAGTTGCCATGATTGTTTTTTGTGGTTCCCCACGTTTGGCACCGGATCCCTGTTACCCTGCGGTTCCCTACTGACAAAATCCTGCACCATCCTGCAGTGAGTGTGGACAGTTTGGCTTCCTTTTGGTTCCTTGGCTTTGCTGGGGAAACCAGACTTTCTCGGTCCCGGCAGGAGCTGCTGCAGCAGAGCCCCAGATACCGACGCTTCTGGGAGGGTGCGGGGACGAACGCAAATTGATGAAAATATGACAATTCAATTAACGAAATCATTATATGTTTGGCGATTGGTCAGGTTAAATATATATATATATATATTATATTTAGAGATATATTTATATAAGATTGTGATTTGGTATAATTAAATTATTAAATAATTATCGAAATTTATATTATTGAATAATATTATGGATATATTTCTTTTTAGATTAATATTTTCGAAAATTGATACATAATATTAATATTAAAAGATAAGAATAATTAGAATATATAGAATTAAATATATAAAATATACAAATTATTGGGATAATATAAAACAAATTATTGTTATATATTTGTGAATTATATGGCTTCGGGATTGAATTGGTCGTGGAGCATAGGGAATCGTTATGAATAATAAACTAAATGTATATGGAATTTGGGAATTTGTTCGAATTGAAATTGTTTGATTTCTCTTTTTTTTTTTTTTTTTTTTTTTTTTTTTTTTTTTTTTTTTTTTTTTTTTTTTTTTTTTTTTTTTTTTTTTTTTTTTTTTTTTTTTTTTTTTTTAAATATTTTTTTTTTTTTTTTTTTTTTTTTTTTTTTTTATTTTTTTTTTTTTTTTTTTTTATTTTTTTTTTTTTTTTTTTTTTTTTTTTTTTTTTTTTTTTTTTTTTTTTTTTTTTTTTTTCTTTTTTTTTTTTGGTTTTTTTTTGTGTTTTTGTTTTTTTGTTTCTTTTTGTTTTTTGTTTCTTTGTGTTTTGTCTTTTATTTGTTTATGTCTATATATTTTTTTTATATTTTTTTTTTTTTAGTTTTTGTGTCTTTGTGTTTCTGTCTTTTTATCTATTTTTGTGTTTTATTGTTTTTTTTGCCTTTTTTTCTTTTTTGTTTGTTGTTATTTATTTATTATTATTTGCTTGTGATTATTTATTTATTTGTCGTTACTTATTTGCTGTTTGCTATTAATTGCCTCTACTTACCTGTGCTTGTCTCTACTTATCTTTGTTTGTCTCTAGTTACCTTGTTTGCCTTTATTTGTCTTTGTTTGCCTCTGTTTGCCTCTGGTTGCTTCCTTCTACTTGCCGTTGCCTATATATCGTTGTTTGCATGTCATTGCCTATGTGTCTTTGTTTGTGTGTGTTTTGTTTATTTGCCTCTATTTATTTATTTATATTTGTTTATTTTATTTGTCTTTGTTTGCTTATTTCTATTTGCCTCTGCTTGCTTGTTTTTGCCTGCTTGATTTTGTTTATTTCTATTTATTTCTATTTATTTGCCTCTATTTTTTTGCCTCTACTTGCTTACCTCTATTTATTTCTATTTATTCGTTTCCTTTTAATTATTTGTCTGCCTCTGCCCACTTATTTGCTTGCCTCTGCCGACTTGCCTATCTATTTCTGCCTGTTTCTGCTTACTTGCTTGTTTGCCTGTTTGCTTGTATGTTTGTGCCGATCTTCGTTTAGCCTAATCAATATTTTCCGGATTAAATTGTTTCCGATAATTTTCGACGTTACCTCCGCAATTTTCTTCAGAATTTGATGATTTTCCGAAAAGATTAATGGGTCAAATTTCCGGAAAATTTCGGGATTTATCTAAATCGAAATTTCATAAAAAATCTTATATTTTTGTTGTTTTCTTTATTCTCTTTATTCTTTGTATTTCTTTTGTGAATTTACTCTCTTTGTTCTATTTATTGTCTTTGTTTTTTTTTATTCTTTTTGTTCCCTTTGCTCTTTTTGCTGCTCTTTGCTGCCTTTTATTGGTTTTGCCATTTCTTGTTCTTCTTCTTTTTTTCTCTACCTTCTTTCCCTTTTTTTCTTTATTTATTTTATTTTATTGTTCTCTCTTTTTTTTCTTCTTCTTTTTATATTTCTTTTTTCGTTTTCTTTTATATATATATATATTTCTCTGTTTATATTTGTTTTCTCTCTCTCTTCTCTTTCTTTTTTATTTTAGAAAAATAGAGAGATGGAAAGAAATATATAAAAAGACGGAGAAATAGAGAGATAAAGAAAAAAGACAGAGAGACAAATAAACAAACATGTAAAGAGACAGAAAGACAGAAAAGAAGGACGGAGGAGGGAAGGAGGGACATGTCTTTGTATTTTTTCTGTTTTTCCTCTATTTTTATTATTTATTGTATTTCTCTCTTTTCTTTTTTTTGTTTTCTCTTTCTTGGTTCCTCTCGGTTGTTTCGATTTTTGTTTTCTTTATTTGTCTTGAATATATGGGATATTGATTTATTTCTCTCTTTCTTTTTTTGTGTTTTAATCTTTCTTTAGCGCATATTATATCTCTGTTTATTCTTTTTATTGTTTTTCCTATATTTTTATTCATGTTTTTTTGTTTTGTATCGTTCTCTTTTTGGTTTTCTTTAGTTCATATGTTGTTTTTTGTGTTATTGTTGTGTCTTCTTCTTTTTTAATTATATGTTCCCGTTCGCACACTTGTCTTATATATATATATATATGTCTAGGTATGAATGACACAGCCTGACTTGGTTACTATAACGTTGTATTTGATTTTAATGTGTTTATTTTTTTCTTTATATAATATCCAGATTCTATAATGCAAAACAGAGCCGCACTTATTTCTAAAGAATTTAACCCTTAACAATAATCATACTAATCGGATATTGATATAGATTTATTTCTATATAATCTCCTAAATTATCCAAATATAAGGGACATTGCCATGGTATTTATGGTTTTGAATAATCGTTAGATTAGTTCGATTTGAAATAGATTTTTTTAGAATTAATTTGTTAAATATAGGTATAGTTTTAGTTTTTGTTTTAACAGACGTGTCGACCACGCCATGCATAACTTCAAGATAAAAAGGAATGCTAAATTGTATTCGATTGTAAATCCCTCAATAATATAAATATTGTTAAAGATTTAAACAGATATGTCTAAGATATTTTTTTAGAGTAAAAATAAAAATAATCAAATCTATTAAAATATTTGTTTTTTAGTATTTATATCTGTTTTTTAATATTCTGTTTTTATAAATTCTACCCCAATGCATTGTTGCCCCCCAAATCATGGTTTTTGTTGAATTTATTTATTATTTAATATAATTTTCCCAAAATATAGATTAAATCCCAATATATGTATATATAATCATTTATTATAATCCTCAAATTTATTTGAAATAATTATATTATATTTCTAGATAATTATATATTATATTAGAGAAATCTCGTTAATTCCATCAACAACAATATCAACAAAAAATCAAAGAAGAAAGAAACAAAAAGAGAAAAAGAGAAAGATAAAAGACAATAAGAAAACGATAAAGAAGAAAAAAACATATTCAAAAAAAACAAAACAATAAGACAATTAAAGAAAAAACAACAAAAACCAACATAGAACAAAAGAGAATCAAAGAAAGAGAAAAAACCGAAAAAATAAAGAAGAAAGAGAAAAAGAGAAAAAGAGAGAGAAAGAAAAGAAAAATAAAAATATAGAAAAAGAGAGAATGAAAGAGAGAGAGAAAGAGAGAGAAAGAGAAACATATAGAGAGAGAGACCCAAAGCAGGAGGAGTTGCTACTAGCGGAATGCCCGAGGCAATGGTTTTCCAAGAGTGCCTCCAACCCCGAGAAGGATCAATCGATGCCCCAACTAATCCTTGTAAAATACCTAAAACGAAGCAATTCCCCCCATGATGATTGAAAAAAATGATGATTCAATTAAAGGCGCGGGGGGGTTGGGGGGGGGGCGGCATCCCCCCCCATGATAATCGAAAAAATAATAATTCAATCAGGGGGCAAAAAGTCGGGGGGGATGATGATTGAAAAAAATGATGATTCAATCGGCAAGATATATATGTATGTATATAAAAACAAAAAAGCAGCGGGGGGGGGGGGGGGGGCAAGGCCTCATGGTAAAAGTGAGGATTCGAATACGGACAAATTAATCCCTGTAAAATGGCAGCCCCCTCCATGATGATCGAAAAAATAGGGGCAAAGAATCTAAAAAATAGTTGTCGTATGATAATCGAAAAAATGATAATTCAATTAGAAATGTATTTTAATCGAAAGCGGGGTAGTGGGGGACACCAGAGAGGAACTTGTGATGCTGAGGATACAGGAAGCCAAGGCCAAAAACCAACTGGGAAAGCAGAGGATACGAAAAGCCAAAGCCAAAAAGCCGCCAAAAGCCATAAAGCCAAAAAGCCACCTGCCGCAGCGGAACTGGCGAAAAGAGAGGAATTGTGAATGCAGAGGATGCGAAATGCAAAGCCAAGACCTAAGCAAATGGTTCCTCATCCTATGGGCGATAAAACGACACCAAGGAGTGAGAGAAAAACAAAGAGAAAGAAAAAAAAAGAGAGAAAAAGAGAAAAAGAAAAAAAAAAAAAGAGAAAAAAAAAGAAAGAGAGAAAGAAAAAAAGAAAGAAAAAGAGAAAAGAAAAAAAGAAAGAAAGAGAAAAACAAAAACAAAACAACAAATAATAAAAAGAATCAAAAACAAAAAGAAACAACAAAATTGGAGATGCGGCACGCAACAACACGAAAGTGGGTTAGTTTTCTGAACCGACCACAAAAACAAATACAAACAAACAAAAAAATAAAAAAATATAAACAAATATAAACAGACATTACCAAATAAACAAATGCGAACACACGAAAATAGACAGAGAGACATATACAGACAAACAAACATAAAAACAAACGACAAACGACAAACACATAGAGACAAACAAAGACAAACAAAGACAAACAAAGACAAACAAAGACAAACAAAGACAAACAAAAACAAACAAAGACAAACAAAAACAAACCAAAACAACCCGAGAGACAGAGAAACACAGACAGACAAATAAAGACAAAGAGGCACAAACACCAAAAAGAAATAGATTGGGATATACAAAGATACACAAAGATAAATAAAGAAAAACAGAAATTAAGAAACAAATTAATACGGCCACACGGAAACAAATTAAACAATATAAAGAGAAACAAAGGAACGAAATTTTCGAGAAATTTCGAAACAAAATTATTAAGCAAAAAATATCGGGGGCCTTCCGGGCCGCGCGAAGAAGCGGGAGCTTATACCGCGGAGAAAAGACCAAAACAAGAATAATCGCTCGCCGCAAACACTACAATTCGCCCCGGAATATCGCTACAACGGCTTGCCAGTACAGGAGAAATACGACCTCGAGACTATACCGATTTAGGAAAACATTTGTTTTTGTTTTATTTTTTTTTAACAATATTAAAAATACTAAATAAATAATATATAATTATATTAATATATAATTTAAATAATAAAACCAATAATAATTTTCTTAAAAAAAAAAAATAATATAAAAATTAGATTACTTATTATTATAAGATTTTTTAATATAAGAATCATATATATATATATTTTTTAATTTTATATTCAACAAAATTATAAATATACTATATAAAATATATATAATTCAATATATATAATTTAATATTAATATATAATTTAAAAGAATATTAATACTATTTTAAATTGTAATTATCAATATAATATCAAATATTATATTAATCCTATATTAATACATATATATATTATATATATAAATTAATTAAGCATATTTCCTTCATAATTAATTTTATATAAACAAATAATACTATATATATATATTATCATCAATTAATACAAATAATAATTATTAAACAATTTTCTAAATAAATAAAAATAAAATTCAATTAATACATAAATAACATAATATCTAAATACATATTCTATTTTTCCAAATCTATTTTTCAAACGAATAATACACCCTATTCCATAAACCCATATTAAAAAATAACATAAAACTAAACAACTTATAAAATATACAATGAACATATAATCAATTTAAATTAGTTGTTTCATCTTATTTTACCCTACCAAATCACACAATATACTTAATATATTTATTATGTTTTTCTAAATATGATTTTCTGTTTCCAATATGGTTTAATCAAAATACCGCATTTGTGCCGCCTGCACTGCGTTTTCTCCTTTTTTGAATCAATTTCATTAATCCGTGTCTTCCTCATCTTTGAAGGAACCATTGACAATCTGTTCAATCTCTTTAGGTTGTGGCATTCTTCGAGGCCACCAATTATAATTCCCTGCAGATAGCATCATTGCAGGGACAAGGATAGTCCTGGTCGGAATGCCGCATCGAAGCTGAATTGAGGGTGCCTTGGGTGTGGGTGACTTGGATCGGGGCACCCCATGGCTCCAGGTGTCATGCAAAACATTAAATTGAACCGGAGCAACAGAGTCCTGTCCTTGGGGACTGATCTTCAACTACACCCATCACATTCAGAACTCCGTGCGCACTTTCCTTCTGAGGATGAAACTCATAGGGGTCACGCGGGCCTTCTATTCACATCCACCATGTAGGGTCAAAAAGGGAAATCGTCTGGCTTTTCCCAGTGTGGCCCAAGCCGGACACCTGCATGTTTTCGGTCAAAAGGCAGATCCTGTCCTGACCACGAAGGTGTCCAGCAGAACCGAGGTGACCAGCAACAGTGCAAACCTCCCGTTGCGAGTCAGGTTCCCAGAAAAGAAACCCTTGCATTGCCTAAAGCCTTCACAAAGGATCCATAACCATTCCTGAAACCCACAAGGATATCTTGAATGTGGCACAATTAGATTGGAGTACCCTTTGCTGTGTACAGCATCGTGTTCACGTCTCCATAATCTGTTGTATCTTATGTTTGAAAAGGACTCGTTTCTTGGACATGCTGGTCGGCACGGGCCTTGCAAAGATGACTAGGCCATGCAAGCGACAGCCAGTGAGCACACCCTTTGCATCAGAGTTGGGCCAATCTTCTGCTCACACGAAACACAATCACACACACACACGATAGCACTTGATACATTCGATTTGTCTCTCAAATTGGCAGGGATGACGTTTCCCATGTCAACAGCCACCCTGCAACGCAGATGCCAAAAACATCCAACCACACTACTCTAGTCCCCTTTCAAGAACATTGTCCATGCTCGAATCAGACTTCTGCAAGACAGTTTAACTCGGCAGAGAATGCAGAAAATACACTCTCGAGTACGTCTACACAATCGTGGAGAACACCTACATGTCCGGACTGCTACCCAAACTACTAAACCACGGTTCAGCATCTCAGAAAGTTTCTTGGCATTGCAAAGGCTTCCAGGCTTCTCATGCTAAAGGCTCCTGGAAAATGAGATTAGGTCAAGTGCCTATCCCTCTCTCTCACACATACACACACTCACGCTATACATAGTACAACGACCATTATGGGCACTGGTCCCTGAAACTGCCGTCCACGGCTCTGCTCGGCCGACCTTTCGAAAACACAAGTCAGGGCTGCCCAAAACTTCCAGTGGAGAACCGCCCCTAACAGGGGCGGTTCACCCTAGCCTGCCCAACAACATCTTGTGAAGAACCGCCCCGGCGGCGGAAATCCCGTAACCTGCCCAAAAGCTTCCAACGAAAACGCCGACACCGAGGGGCTGCTGGTGCAGCAGCTTGGGGGAGAAGAAGAGCCCGCTGAAGGCCAGGGCCATGATGGCCCCGGCACCCGAGATGATGCCCCCGGTGCTCGCCTCGGATGGAGCCAATGACGTCTGCTTGTGGCGTGGGCTCCCCTTGGGGGTGTTTCTGTTGGTTCCCCAAAAGCTGCGGTCAAATCACTCGCCAAATGTATGTGTTTCTCGTGATATCCATCCCCAAGCTACTCAAAGTGTAGTCCCCATTCAAAGATGCTGATATCTCGTTCATGTCCTAGCTATGCAGCCGAGTAGCCACACCGAAAACAATACTTGACGGATCAGTGAAGCCCGCCAGGCGAAATTCCACGATGCGGGACACGAGAAAAATGTCATAGTCCAAACCCAAGGCGATGGCGATGCACACAGCCATGGGCACAATCTGGTAGCCTTTGCCGAGATTGACATGCTGGAATCTTAGAAGCGTTCCAAAGCAATCAAGACGGTTCGAGGGAAACAAACAGATACTTTAATCAAGGATGAATAATTAGCCTCCAAAGGCACTTGGCTGTCCCCGCATGCTGAGATGCCTTTTTCACAGTTTGCCCAGTCCAGTGAAACTCTCTGTGGATCGTTCCATGGCACCAACAACCAAACTTGCCTTTAAGCAGGTCCCAGCTAAGGGGTCGAGCGCACTGGAACCGAGAGCGAATCCAAGACATCTCCTGTACCAGCTCAACAAACCTATCGGATGACAAATAAGCGTTGGTTGTTGCTCCACCTTAAAATTGATTGGACAATATTCAAGCTTCCGCGGACCCGTCCGCGTCCTTGCTGTGGGTCAAGACGTCCCTTCAAAGACTTCCGCGACACATGTGTTTCATAATTTGCTTCCGCAAACCTTCCGCGAATTATGTTTGACAACCGCAAATATTGGCGCAGAAAGGAAAATCATTTAAAGCAAGTTCACGAAAGTAAGGTTCCGCCTGCGTTGGTGCAGCGTGTATAGGCTTGGGCTATTGGGCTACAGGTGCTACTACGTGGGCCGCCTGCAAACACGGGGCCTCCCCTTCCACAGAGCTTCCACAAACCTTCCGCAAAATAAGCCTGCAGGTTGCAAAAAGGCTCTTCTATTCTGCTTCTATTGCAATAATTTCCGTGTTTCCCCGCCACACAAACTGAGACAGTTCATGTCAAACCACACAGTTTCTGCATGATTCCGCGCACGCGTGGTGCTGTGCACATGTTCAAGAAACATATCCGTCCCCCTACTGCTTTCAAATTGCGTGCAAAATGAAACAGCTCAAATATGGAAACGAGAAGAGTGATCTGATGATGGCCAACCCTACGGATGTTCATCCAGAGACTGTTTCGATCAAGTTCAAAAGAGATACCCTTTTTGACTTTTGACATGCGGCAATCGGGTGTTTTGAGGCTCCGGGTGGGGGCCCAGCGCTTCCAGTTACCACTGCGTAGGTGACGAGTCTGCTATTTGTAGCCTTTACACAACATTTTGACTGGTTTCCAGCTGCAGTGCAAACTGGAAGGGTTGGGAGTCTTGGGCCTGGGGTTGTTCCGGGTTCCCCTCGGCGACATTTAATCATAGTCTGATCCTTCCAATGGCAAATCTCACGGTGATTATACTACAGTTCCGAAAGGTAGAACACCTACGATTTTCCCAAAATACAACTTTTAGAAGTTAGAACATCTACTGGTAGTTCAAAGGCAGACATCTGTAATAGTATAGGTTTCGCTCTGAAAGAAGGCTCTGAGGCAACCATGGATGCATATATGATGTGTTTGTGGTCGACTCGAGGCAACGCACGTAATGATGAGGCACATCAAGCACAGCACTTGGGTCGACGCGCGGTCAAACTATTCGGCACGCTCTTGCTGGGCCATGTTGTATCTTTAGGAAGCCTGGAGTTTGACATTGATTTGAAGGCCGCTTTTGATAGAAGTGTCGCCGCGTTGTTCATCTCGGCTTGCCAGCCGCAACTGACCCAAAGGGCACGCTGCAAGTTGAAATCATTGGGGGAAAGCCTTGCAGGATACAAGCCAATGTTCCCAGCTGCTTTTTTGAGAGGTCTCGCTATGGTAGAACGTGTCCTCCTGCAAAACCCCCCGGTTGCGTGGCAAAAGGAGGAAGGAGCACATACACACAGCGGTCCCATCCCAAATTTTCTTCCACCTGGGCTCAGAAAGAGGCAGCCCTCAAAGTTTGCCTTCAATCTCAACTCTGCGAGACTGGCCCGGCGGGAAGGGGTGCGTTGACCCCCTCCTGCGAAATCCACAAGAGGTGCCTCAGTCGAACGCCACAGGTTTTACAACCAAAGGCCACAACACACCATTCACGCCTATCGTGTGGCATGATCTGCAAATATGCCGCATAAGCCCGGACCGGATGCTTTGAAAGCCAAGTCTGTCCCTTGCTAGTCAACAAACCCAAAAGCACGAACAGCCAAGTTGCTTCGTAACATTCTATAACGTAATTGCTGTTCGACTGTGCGACTTGCACTTCGCCCTGCGGACTCCGGGGGGTCGACCTCCAAAAACTCGTGGGTTTATACGTCTGTCAGCTTGCGCCACCATCAAACAGTGAACCCACTTCGTCGGCTGGAGAGACAGAGGGGAGCAAAAGGGAATATGGTTCCAAGCTGTAGCTCAGCTTTGCCGGTAGTACTATAGTACTGTGGCGGAGTGGCACATAGAACATTTCATGTCGGCTGAAGTGAGTCAACTGCATATTCATGCATATTCTTTGCGCATGTCTGCATGTTCGCGTTCTACATTTCCACTCCCCACCGTACCTTGGAAAGTAGTCAGGGCACAATTCAATGTGCTACTCCGGCACTGCGCTGGCATCTTTGACCAGTGGCTGTTTCGCAAGTGTTTCAATGCGGCGATTGCAAGTTAATTCATCGGCACTTTGTGCCGGCTGGCACATGGACGGACTCAGAGGCGCTGCGTGTGGTGAGCTGTCGACTGACGGCCTGAGTCTGCGAAGTCCTCGTCCCCGCAGTCGCCAAACGTGAGCAGGTTGGCGTCGTCCGCATCCTCCCTATAGGAATCACGAAGGAGTGGAACACGTCCATTTGCTGCAAATATGCGCATGCCAACTCTAGGAAGAGTATTAGAGCGCTTCGCAAAACCAACTTTTATGACAAACAGCCAAGAATTCAACACGCACGTTCACTTTTACTGGCTCTGCCAGAGAATCACTTTGATTTGATGGCTCTTTGACGAGCCTTCGACGGGCTCTACCTTGCAGCAAATGTGCTTTTTGCAAAAATGCATCAGCAATTCCTCAAACCTAACTCGCTTTTTCAATCGTTTGGGTTGCTTACCCAAGTATTCCCTTTGTTGGGAGTGCCATGTTAATAAGTTAATGCCACCTCCCTTTCAGGAAAAATCGGGACGATCATCACAACTGTCGGAGATGCCTCCAGAGTGGAGCCTGACATGACAGCGCAGCTGGCGGGCTCCAAGGCACGATGTGCGACAGCGAAGTCCCCGCCTCCTAGCTGCGCGTCTTGCGCAACGGTGATGCGGTTCGCGCCCGTGGTTGCTCCCACAAGCAAAGCTGCAGTTTTAAGGCCCCTCCCACGATGTAATGGCCGCCGACGCGCCACACGCCGTTGGCCCATCCTTCAGAGGGTGGGCTCTAGAGCTTCGCGCACGTTGTAAACCACCACCGCCTGGCATGCTCCAGCATTCTTTGGCAGCACTGTGTACCACTGGTGCGTATGTGGGCTTCTGCAACTGTGTCAAACCAGCCCGCGTTCTCACGCATGGCTCGTACAAGCACAAGCAGCCCAGGCTCAGAGGCATAGATGAGATAAAGAGCCGATATCCGTCGCCAGGGCCGGGCTTGAGAGCCCAGCATTGTAGAAGCACTAAACGCCTTGGTTGTCTCACGACGGTAGCTCACGTTACGATGCAGCAATTTGATGCGAGCTGAAGACTTGCGGTAGGTTGGGACCCTTCAATTTGATGGCAAAACCAAGTTTTGAAAGATAGAACATGGCCCAGCCGGAGGTACGTTGCGTCGCACCCAAGTAGTTGGCTTGGGGACGTATCGCGATGGGCCTCAGCCTCGTAAACAATACCTCTGCGTACAAACGCATATGACTTGCTTCGAGTTGATCAGCGGCACAAGTGATCATCAATATGCTGGCAGCAAATTATACTTTCGGTATATCGTGATATAGGACCTTCACATCGATTGCAACCAAGATAGAATATGGCGCAGCAAGAGCCTGCCAAGAGGATTTTTCCTGCGACCCAACGACTTTGAGTCGTTTTGGTATGGCTCCAAACTGTTGGCTTGTGGACTTATCGCGACGGGCCTCAGCTTTATATACAAAACCATACCAATGCACATATGATTTGATTCGAGTTGAGAACCAACACAGGTGATCATCATATGTTGGCAGCAACTGACTTTGTGGTACATCGTTACATAGGACCCTTCAAATCGATGGCAGATTCCAGGTTTCCCAAAGAAGAATATGGCTCAGCAAGAGCGTCGTGAAGTGGTTTGGCGACCCAAAAACTTTGCTTCGTCTTAACATGTGTTGTTTCCCCCGAATAGTTGGCTTGGGGACGTATCGTGACGGGCCTCGGCCTTATACACATCTATATACATATATACATATATATATATATATATGTACATGTATATATGTATTCATTTCCTTGTTTATTTGCGCATTGCCGCAAAAACTGACCCAAACGGCGATGCAACCGCCACCCAACACAGGCGATCGATCAATATATATATATATATATATAGCATCCCGTGGCATTTACATCGAGCAAGTTTCAAGCAACGCTTGTTTTTTTCAGCAAGACGACACTAGTGACGATGCCGTTTTGAGCTGCCCCAAATATATGGCATGGGGACGTATCGCGACGGGCCTTGGCCTTGATTTGCTTCGAGTCGGTCACCACATGATGGCAATGCCATCCTTAGGGCCCTTCAAAATCGATGGCGAATTTCAGGCTCCCCGGCGATAGAATGTGTGGCAAGTGCTTTGATCCTGTGGCCCGCCAAAGGCTTTGCGTCATCTTGCTTGATGTGCCCCAATAATATAGTTGGGTTTGGGACGTAGCGCGACGGCCTCATATATATGTATATATAATTAATCTGCTTCGAGTTTAATGACGAGTTGCGGCACATCGCTAGCGCCCTTCGATGGCAAACTCCAGGCTTACCAACCCAAATGCCATGATTTGACACGTCCCCAAATAGTTTGCTTTGGCAATTGGGACGGGTCGTCACGGGCCTTAGCAGTATGTGCATTGTTCCAAATCGATTACCACCATATGGTATGGCACGCCACATGCTAGCAGCAAGAGCATGTGTTGGTGAAGCACTACGGCAAGCAACAATATAGTCCAAAAAGTGTTAATCTAGTCCATTGATGCTCCTGATCAGCCATATTCTGTCTTAGGGAATCATGCATAATTCTGGCCGAATTACACACCTGAACATGAGTACGCTTCAAATTCCGGCTGTGCGTCAGTTGTTTTGGCATGTTCTATCATTTCTATCTTCAGGGAACCTGCAGCTCGCCATAGAATATACGGTGGTCCAAACATTATACCAATTTTTGCCATGTTCTAGCTTTCGAAATCCTAAGATGTTCTATCTTTCGGAAACGGATGTTCTATCTTTAAGAAATCTGCGGTCCGAAAACACCAGCGAGTTTCCGAAACGTATCTTTCGGAACCGGATTATACATGGAAACGAAAAGGACACTCACAACTTGCAGGGGCCTTCTTATGTTGCAAAACACCAAACCGGCTTTGACACACACCATCTGGCCGTGTCCTTCTTGATGATCCCCCTCGGCAGAGTTGGCCGTGAAGCAAAACCAAAGAGAAAACCGCCCATTCTGGGGTTATTTTTCCCATTTAAGGGTCTCACCCCAATTAGCATCTGGTCGCAGAGGCCATCATAGTCCGCCAGGCTGGGGAAGAGTCCGTGGAGCAGCGAGGTCTCATAGCCTCAGCGGCCCCTTTCGACCAAACCAGCACCCTGCAAAAACCTGAAAGCTGATAAGGGACCAACCCAAACCTCAACCCGGTAGCCACATTTTCCCGGTCTTTAAATGGTAGGGAAATAGTGGACTCCGTCAAAATTGCAAGCCCCAACCCACAAGCCGTGCTGGGCCAACTTGTAGGAAGGGCAGGTACCCTGTTGGGCTGTGGTTGAAGATTGTATGGATTCCACAGGTTTCAGCTTGTCTCAGTTCTCTCTTACCAGTGGAATGACACCTAGGGTTGGGGCGCCGTAACACGGCTTGGCGGTTTCCCTGGCAAGGGTAGGGGAAATGGACCGGGGAAGATGCCTAATGTCGAGATGTCACCTATGAAAGGCAGCAGGAATTAGTCGGGCAGAGATATGATGTTCCGCAGCAGCATCGTATCAGAAACAAGGAACTCTGACCTATTCCGTGTGGCAACCCAGCCCTCTACCCCGCCCCGCGCATTTGGTGCGTCCACCAAGCTGCAAATCACCGCCGTGCCGAAGGTGGCGGCCAGTGTGAAGAGCAGCGCAAAGGCCAGACGCAGCGGCAACAGCAGGCCTTGGCTTCAGCTACAGCCGGCTTCAATTCAGTTGAACCCCTGAATAAATGTGCGCCCACTCATGGCTTGACTACCAGTTTGTGGCTTTCATGAATGGCTTGAACCTATGGGTATGAATTTTGATTGGGGGCCCTGTGGTGGACACCGTTTTGGCTGGAATTTATGTCCACCAGCCACTTTTAGGGGGTGTCTCCGCTTCTCAGTACGATGCATAGCAACGATTAATCTCTCTCTCTCTCTCGCTCTCCCCTGACCATCGGACGAGCGCATCCAAGCCGAGGAAGCAGCACAAAGAGACAGAGCGCTGCATGTACACTGTACGAACCTCTGGTGTAAATTGATGGCTTGATTATCAACTACAGGCTTCATTACGGAAAACCTCCCCAGTATGACCATGGCCACGGGTTCACGGCCTCAAATTTCTGCACGGATTCCTTTAACTCACCCAAGTTAACAATCCAACCTTTCATGAGGGAGCTCGTGCTTTAGGCGAGCTGTTAGCACAGCTCCAAATACACGCTCCACAGTTTAGAAAGTAACCTTGTACATTTGTCTCTAGCACTGTGACATGACAGCTTCCCATGGTTACCCACTATACCAACAACTGGAAGCATCGGCCTTGTCCTTTGCATGCGGGAGCTTTCCGGCAATGGGAACGCATGGAGAATGGTCCAAAGCGGAAACTTTGTTAGACTTGATGTTGTGCTCTGAATGGCCTAAACCAAATTGACACTTCCCCACAAATGCAAGCTACCACTGGAACCACTTACAGCAACAAGGACAACTCCCCAGTTTCCCGGGTGGTCAAATTAAATGCGTGTGCCCTGACCACGGTAACTTCTAAAAAAGGGCCCCAAGATGCCCCTCCCAGGGTTCTCTTTAAAAGGCACCAAACAGGGTGGTCTCTGTTTCGAGACCAACTCTATGGCTGTTGAATGCTGACAAATGGAGAGAAACGCCGAGTGCTGGACGCCCTGTTTGAGTGCAGGAACCCCCATAGTACCAGTTTGTTGGGGATCCCCATCTCTGGGTGTCTTCCATGCGGGGGTTTAATGGACATGTTGCGTTGGGCTGTGCGAGGCTATGTCCAAAGCCTTGTGTGAGGGCTGAGGCAGGTCTTGGAAGAGGACCAAGGGAACGATTGGAGTCAGGATGCATTGCACTTCCCAAGTCCCTGGAAGAAAAGGTTACCAATGGACCCATGGAGACAATAACGGACACACAGAGTTGCCCAGTTCAACCAGCTAAGAGATCTGTTTGTCACATACGTTGATGTCGCGGTGCTTCGGAAAATACCGAAGACTACAGCGGTGATGAGTAGAATGGACACCACCAAGTATGTGGGCACTGCCTGCATGACAGTGTCCTGGCGCTCTCATTGGATCTACCGGCTGGCATCCATTTTCTTCCGTCTACTTCTTCCAACCCCTGGCGGCAACTAGCAACTGGCGGCAGCACAAGATAGCCACATGCGCTATCATCGCACCAAAAACGCTCGGACTAAGCTACTGGTCAGCATGCGCATCATGTTGCAAGACATTCCTTTCAGTCCGTGTTCCAATCGAACAGGTCAATTCAGTCATGCAGTCATTCAAACGCCTCCACGGCAACCCGCGTCTGAGCAAAAGGCACACTCACCAACTAGTCACCAAGGATCTCCCAAAGTCAATCCCATTGGTTTCATCTGGTTACTGGAAACACAGGATTAACACATCATGTTGGGGGAAAACATACCTCTGACCGTCGGCCAATTTTTTTGCATCCGGGGTCAACATGAGCAACCAACCTAATTTCGGTGATGTTGATCAATAGACCCGGCGGGGAGCACCTAACATGGGACAAACTCCATTTTAATCAATGAGGGGCAAGCGAGGGGACCCTCCAAGATCCTGTATTAGTCAAGGGGTTGACTCATCCTACTGACTGAGCCAAATCCAAACTGCTAGAACAGGAAAATCATAGTTCAACCTTTTTGCCATGGGCTTAGTCCCAATAACTTGAAACAACACACAAAACACACTTCTCTATAGTTGTTTCTTTACCCCAAACTAGATCGAGCTTTGGTCTTACTCTTGGTCGGCGCAGCCGCGGGTCCCTGGAATCGAGGCCAGCCTCGGAAAACCCCAGAGCCCCTCCTGGGCGTCCACTGCCAGCGTGGCGCCCCCGCACAGCACTGCGGTGAAGCCGGGATGCTGCCCTGCAAAAATGTCTCGGTGCAGTGAAGCCGGGGCTTCTGGTTGAACGACGTGCGACTCCAGCTCTAAATCCAAATTCGGGGATGGCTGTCCTTGTACATATTTGCACTTTTTTGCCTGCTCTGTTTGGATGATTTGTTCAAACAAACCGACATGTTGCTCTCTTTGGCTGGGATCCTGGTAGTGCGCGTTTTTCCCGTTTTGAGGCGTCCTGTCTTCCTGTGTTGTAAGCCGGAAGTCAGCAACATATCCACCAAAACCAGGCGGGTTTGCCAATCCGGTTTATTGCCTGTAGACCTTCCCTGGAGCACACGTTTCTGACAAGCGATCCGAACAGGTTGGCTCGTTTGGTTGGCAGGCTGGCTGCCTCTGAACAAACCGAACCAACCCACAAAAGCGAAGCGCATGACACGCCTTCCCAGGCGGCCAGGCCCAACCGCAGCTGGCGCACCCACAAGGCGCCCTTGGGCCCCCGGGGCAGAAAGTCCGTGAAGACCTGACGCTGGAAACGACCCAGCCACAAGCGCAGTCTGGGGGGGGTACATATTTTGGTGTAGTGGTAGTCTGGTGCAGTGGCTCTATTTCCCGGGGCAAGCAGGGTATAATGGTATACTCCTTTTGTATAGCGGCCACGTGGCGGTAAACCCATTTAACTCCAAGCAGTGAGTTAGGCGTGGACACCGTCTCAAGAAGGCCAGGGCCAACCCGTGGGAGGCTAAAATCACCAGCAACAGAAAAAGTTGAGTTGAACGAGTATGTAGGCACCCTCACGCCAAAAGGGAATCCCCACCCTACTAGTGAACAAACCTGGGTCTAGACCATCTTAGTTTCACTGGACATCTGGGTCTTGCCTCCATCAAGACAGCAGAGCCGTTGACGTGGGTCTCCATGATCTTCCTGCGACTGGCAAAGCAGTCCGGCGTCGCCACCGGACGAATTTTTGTGGACAGAAATCAAAGGGCGAAGCGAAGCGTCCAACAAAACAAGTTCTCAAAAAGATCGGCAGGGCCGACCATTGATTTCGATCTCATGGCATACCGCAGCTCCTGTAAGTTTTTTGGAGCTCGGGCGGCCCCTGCGGAGATTGCCAGTGCTGCGCGGTGGACCAGTCGACACCTCGATCGCGTGCATCTCCGGTTTCGCCCAGCTATGGCGTGCGGCGATGCAAATGAAGCACCAGTCGAATCCCAAACCTGAAATACGAGTTGGATCCTCAAGGAAAAAACGTGTTTCCTCGTCAGCTTGTTTGACCCCCAGGTAAGCTTGCCACAAACTAGGCAGAACCTTCCAGAAGCAGGTGAACCATTCACTGACCATTCTCACTAGAGCAACTCTTAAACTAGGGGACCCAACATGGATGTTCTTCCCCCTTGGTCTCCCTTTACAACACACCCAAATTAAACGAGCAGCCGCAAAGAACGACTCCCCCCCGCATTCCAAAAGAACAACAAACCAAGTGACCAAACTCTCAAATGGCTGATTTGCATATGATGGTTTTCCCTTTAGTTACCCGCAAAGAGCACATGGGCCCGCAGATGACCAAAGCTATCAGAGAGCTGCCATGGGGAGCGCATGCATTGCGTTGGCCCTTTTCATCCTAACTTGGGACACTTTGGTGGACATCTTTATATGGGGGTTGATCAATATCCCTGGCCCCAAAATGATCCTGGGTAACGTGTCCCATTCAGTGGTTAAAGCCATCTTTAGTTGTGGTTTCCCTAATGGTCACCCCATGTAAAGGACCTTTTGATCAACCCATATATGGACCATATGGATGTATGCACATCAACTTGGTCGGATTCATGCTAGTGCGACCACGCAAATTAGCAGACTTCTGGCAAGATTGACAACCCAACGCATGATTCTGGTTCAACCGTGTTCAACCGGCTTCCAAGTTTACATCTTCCTGTGCCGGGGCGCTTTGGTCGAGCAGGTACACCGGGCTCAGCATTGAGTCAACCTTAGGCCCGCCGGGCAAATGGTAGTATCGTTTAGTGGGACACCAACCTCTGCCTGGATCCCACCAGTCTATGTCCGACCAACATCGACATCAACCGGACAATTGCTGAAAACTGAGAAACCCCCACGCTAACAGTTGACGTGCTTGGTCGTGCTGAATCGTAATTCGCTCCGTGCCAACGGCGAGGTGTCAACACCAGGACCTGTCCAAAGGATTAACTTCCTCTGTCCATTCGAGATGCCGTCCTGATCGCGACGTGCACACATAGAGTTAAGCTAGCTTTAGCCGAGTCGGGAGGTGCTTTCGTGTACTTCTTTCATGGTCGGACGTTTTCAGGTAGGCTGGAAATGTTCATGTCTCCGACACTATGTGCTTACTTCCAGTTCATTTAGGCCAGTCCGTTCCACGCATGAAATTCTGCTCATATTTCCCAAACACGTCAACAGGTCTAGGTGTCCTGTTCGAAAAATAATTGGGTCCCAGTGGTGACTATGTGAAAAACCCAAATTCAAATCAACCTATCTCTACCCAACTGAAACCGGAAAGGACATCACCTGGGTTGTCAAAGAAAGGAACCCCAATTTCGGATCCGCACGCAAGGCGGCATAACCCGTCACCAGCCAAAAAAGGCCCCCTGGTTTTGACAACTCTCCCCTATGCGAACAGGACGACCCGGGGTGTCCCGACTGGTGCATTCAGAGTGCCGAACCCATCTGCTGGAGGATACCGCAGAGCTGCAGCATGGCCTCCGGATCTCCCGGTTCGACCCGGTAGAAAAGTAGTTTTTGGTAGGAAGCCAAAGGAAGCCCCAAATGGCTGTGGGTCAAAAATAGGTACCCAAAATGAAACCCTGGCAAATGGGACCAACGACTAAAACCTGCGGTCCCCTGGTGGCTAAATTTTGACTCATGCCCAAATGTTCTACCCCGGTTTGGTCATCTTTGAGAAACAGCTCCGGGGAATCATGACAATCCTCTGCCTGCTAGAATCACCCATGGTTCGACCCCGGTCTGCGTGAACCTGTCGGGGGTGGAAACAAAACGCTGAAAGGGACGCCGTTTCTCATGTGCAGGTGGGAACACGCCAATAGGTACTGGAAGGCTTGAAGTGCAATGCCGACATCTCACAAGAAGCTCGCGGGCGAGGTAGATAAGCTATTTGCATGGCAAATAAAAGGCCTCCAAATCAGAGATGGTATCTCTTGTTTTGTGGAAATCTGAATATATTTCCACCTATACCAGGGTTCCAATTTGGATACCCATTTTTCACCCCCGATCTGCTCCCCAACCCAAACCAAAAAAGCATTGCCAGCTGAAGGGGGAGAACACCAGCTCCAGCTTCGACCGGGCCGGCCTTGTAGCCCTTCTCTGTGAGTAATGAATTCGTCCCGGTGTCACTGAGGACCAGCAGATACGGATCAAATTGCCCAGCGGGAAAGTCTTTGGCCAGCTCACGCATGGCTAGCCTTGGTCTGCAAGATCCAGGAGTCAAACCAGAAATTGGAAATGCTTCATTGGCAACGGCCAGTGGTCCTGGATGCTTGTCTGCGCATCATGAAACTCAGTGCTTGCCCCCGAGCAAGGCACGCATCCGTAGACACCCAGGCACACATGTGACTGCAGCCATTTATCGAAGGTTACGTCAAATCAAAACATCAACTAGAATCCAAGATGTTCTGAATCAGGCGTCAACACTGCATGGATGCTGTGGCTTACGAACCACGCAGATCCTTACAGAAATCCCCCCAAACGTATCCTGGCTTAAGGGTGAATGGCCATGGCCAGTTTTAACCCTGGCACTCTTCATCTGGGATATGAGCAACGAAGCTGTCTCGACCCGAGGTGGCGCTGGTAGAACTTTCAGGGTTGGCAATTTTCAGGGCACCTACCAAACACTGAATGGGTTAGAGGGTGCCGCTGAAAAACTGGGTGCGGCACAGAACACTCCGAGGGGCACGCTGGGCAGATCCGGCAGCGCGGCATAGATGTCCGCGGTGCCGTGGACGGCAGGGAGCTGCCACGTCACCGGCAAAAAGAGCAGAAACACCCCGCACATCGCCAGAAGCGGCCGGTGCCTCACGGGCACCAAACCCCGTGAAGCCCTTTGCTTCCCGAAGTTGGACCCAGGATTACCCCCGCCTTTTTGAGAGGGGATCCCTCACTTTGTGTTCCTATTCATCCGACAGGTTTAGATGCAGGTGTGTGAATCCGGGCTCAACTGTGCCGGGAAGGGCGCCCGCGCCAATGGCACGAACCAAGGACGTCGGGATATGTCTTTGAGAAGGGCCCAGTCAAACTGCCAATCCCAGGGCTGAGATGCCAAGCTTCTTCCACACACGCCAGCTTTCCGTGGCTAAGTACGGATTCGGTGTTGGAGCGTGCATGTGGCTCGAACAAGCAATTTGTCATGCCGCGCCCCTTTTCCGAACAAAAACGGACCTCCCACCAAGATGTTTACCTATAGTGTTGTCTGCAAAAGGCAGGGGAGAACATTGCTGCTGAATCATACGGGTATTGTAATTCTGTTGGACACTGTATAGTCACCCAGCAATGAACAACACACTGCACGCACTCAAGAGTTTGATCATGATCGTTCAAATCGGTGCTCAATGATTGATAGTTATTGCGGCCCGCCTGACATGGGAATTGGTAACCCTCGTTCCTTCTGGCAGTTTGGTAAGTAAGTTTAATGCAATTCCCAGCTGTCAGCTTTTGAGAGGAGGACCTTGCAGTCGTCATGTTTCCTGTGAGATCAACATGTCAATGTCGTGCTTGCCAAGCAAACGCAAAGCCATCTCTGGAGGCGTCAAAGCTAGGGAAGCCCTTCTGCCCGTTTAGAAAACCAAAGCAACATAAAACAACCATCTGGAGGGACGCCAATGTCACCCCGGAACCTCTGGGCAGGTATGAACAGATCGCCATCTGCCAAGTGTCTCTACCCATCGCATCAGCCGAAGCCAGAACTTGTGCTTGAGGTGACCCTGCGGCGAGAGAACTGCCCGTGAATGCGTCATGTCTGACCTCTTGTTCGCTTAGAATCAATCCCTTGGGAGACTGCTTCGGTATGCTGACCAACTCAATCGGCAAGATCTTCGGACTCAAATGTCTTGCTCGCAGGTAACTCCGCACCTCACCAAGAAGCGCGGTGTCGCGCTCGCTGCCACTCTGCCATGCGTCGCCGTTGTCGCTGCCGTCGCCGCTGAGGCAATCGCCGAAGAGGAGCAACAGAGACGGTGATAGGCACACGTTCCTTGGACGGCCACAGATCCATCCCCCAAACATGCCGGCTGTGAAGGAGCTCAAACATGACCCAACAAATATTGGAGCCCCGAAATGCTCTTGCTTCCAAGCGGCTTCCCCTTCTTCCACCCTAAGGGCACCCTTGAACAACACGCGGCACGCCTGTTCCGGCGCCTGCTTTGGACCCTGAACATTTGGGCGAACCTGAGAGCTACTTTCCGTGGTCCAAGTTTCGGCCCCGTCTGGCATCTGGAGCCCTGGACGCGACAGCCCCATATGTCCCTTTCAGACGGATTGAACATCGCTTTTGCCACCTCCGCCCATTCAAAAGTTGCCGTTTGTTTTTGCAAAGCAAGATCATCCGTTTGTATCCGTTTGTTGATGGCGCGGCCAAAAGATCGCAGATCTACCTGTCATGACCCTTACAGGGGAACATGCACTCGCCACTTGAAGAACACCCGATGCCCTCAAAGCCTTGTATTGTTGGGGTCTACCCAAACCATATCAAGAACCAAAAGGGCGGAAATGGTTGGTCGGCAGTGTCCGCAGCCCTCATCTAGCCAGGTTTTGATTGCTTACTTGAGCCCAGGATCGTCTTCTGGAGGCAATACACGGGTAAACGGGTCGGCTAACCCTCACACCTACTAGAACCATGTTTTTTGGCGAGAACAGAAGGGAGGTGCTGGCTGCTTGTTTTTCCCACCAGCTGGGGAAAAAAGACTTACTTTAGCCCTAGTGGAAGCAACGCATTCTCGTCACATGAGACACAATCAAAACCTAGCATCAAAACGGTCTCCCCAGAACCACGCAAAGAACTACAACGGCCAAGGGCACCGATTTCAGGCAAGGGGGAGCTCTCCTTTACTCACCAACCCGAAGCTCGGTTTTTTCCAGCACGCGGCTCACATGACATGGCCGGCTTGCCGTTTCCATCGCTTCAGTCCTTCGAGCCCGAGGGGCACCACCACGCAGCAGGCCACGGTGACCCCGAGCACCTCCCCCGCGCTGTGCAGATTCTTCTCCGGCAGCGCCAAGGCCCCGAAGAAGGCGATGGCGATCCTCGCTTGGGGTTGTTCTGAGCGCGCGCGCGTTCGTTGGAAACCGTGCGGGGGCTTGTTTGGGTCGGAGAAAAACCCGGGGGCTGGTGCCAAAGGAGGGGAGTTCCCGAAATTTCCCAAGTACTTTCGGCTACCACTATACAAATTAGAAGGGTTTAGTGCAGTATGGCTCCACACTATGAATGGAAAGTCATATGGGAACTCATTTCTGATGACAGGCGGACTTCACTACCAGTACATCATGTTCCCCTGGTTTGATCCACACTTTTGATCCACAGTTCTGAGCAACACTTCTGACCAACACTTCTGATCCACACTGCTTATCGACCCTTCTGAGCAATACTTCTGAGCAACACTGCTGAATTGACCACTTCTGACCAACACTTCTGAGCAACACCTCTCGAAGCCACTGCCGGGCCTTGCTCTTTGGTGGCTTGGGACCTGGTAGTTTGGAGGTTCTGAGTGCTTTACCCTTTGCTTTGCTGAGCCAAGCGTTCAAATCCACAAACCACCAATGCAAACCACCAAGGGTTGCCCAAAGCTTCATGTTGATGTCCTTCAACAGAAAGAGCCCTCCAAAATCCGTCCCTGGTCCTGGCACATACTCGCGTACATGTGACGGCACCTCAAAAGTAGACCCTTCTGCGGATGGCTCCAGCTTGCTGGGGTGATAATGCCGTTTCGCATTGTCATTTTGTTCTGAAAATTCCTCTGGCTGGGCACCTGTAGCTTTCGATTCAAGTTCAAGTGAGGATATCTGTCCGAAAGAGCAAACACGGAAGAAGCACATGGAAACAAACCCGTTGCACTCAATCCATGAAGTTGGATGCGGGGTAAAACACTGCACTTACTTATCAGCTGCTTCAGGAACCCTGGACCCTGGACCTTTGCGGCTGCTTGGGGGTTCCGGTCACATTTGGAAGCAAATGAGGGACGGTGACACTGCCTTTGAGGTGTCTCACCAGGTGCCGCTTTGGTTTGGTTCCAACTCATCACCTGATGACGCACTCTGGGCGGGGTCAGAACCAACCGTAGATACATATAGACACATTCGGCAAATGCAACGTTAGCCTGAGGAGTTTCCAGGTCCGCGTCACCAGGAATCAGAGCTCCCGAAGCTGGTAAATGTTCCATCTTCCCAAGTGCGAGATCACAACTCCAGGATTGTTGGCCAATTTGAAGACCCCAGGTATTGATTTGCTCGCATTCTTGGTCTGCACCGAAACTTCCAAAATCAAAGAGCAACCCCCCATGAAGCAGAGGTTCTTATTTGAGAACCACCCCGACCAGCCTGCTGAATGACCAAAGTGGCCAAGGCGCAGGGAGCCGCTGACCAGAATCGTGTGGCCTGTCTCGCAGACTAGCACTTCCACATTCTGCTCAATGTCCTGTAGGCAGAAACAAGGGTGTGTCCTTAAATTCGAAACCCTTCTTCACTCTTGACTGATGTTCAAGAGGAAGCCAAAAGGAGAGGAGCCCTTATCTTGCCAACTCCAGCTCTGATGCTTGACCTCCATTTGCCTAGTTTGCGGGCCCAAACAACAGGTGTGGTCGGCAACAGGGTCCGGCGAAAGTGGCGATAGGAACTCATCGATCTTTGGGACCCCCCCGAAGGAACCATCCCATGAGGTGAGCTCCATGAGGTGTTTGCTAATGACCTGGCTTCAGCCTGGCCAATTGACAGGTCTGCCATGACACATGCACATGGACAATGTGGCAAGCTCCCTCAACACATTCGCCCTCTCTCTGTCTCTCTCTCTCTCTCTCTCTCCTCACTCTCCATTGCTCTCTCCATCTCTCTGTTTCTCTCTTCTCTCTCTTTCTCTTTCTCTTTCTCTCTCTCTCTCTCCGCCTCTCTCTCTCTCAGTGCTTCAGAGCCATTACGTCAGGCTCCACCCTCAGAGGTACACTCGCTACTTCTTACAAACGAGCTCCCGTCCGTTGGCTTGTTGGTTCCCCTCAATGTACTACTTGCCACTTGCCATGCTTGCTCGAGATGGCAAGCAAAACAATGACTGGCCCGTTCTCCGATGTGGCCAACGGCCCCTTGAACGTGGGTAAGCTGATGGCGAAAGTTAGTCCAAGATTCTAACATATATGATCCAAGGTTCTAACATATATTCTGTCATTTGCTGTCCCCAGCCTATTCTCGAAAGTTTTGAGCAGAGCAACCATACGTGACCAATGTCCTTCTGCTATCTTGCCCAGAGTCCGCACTCGCCCGACCCGCCACCGCTCCAACCCTCCACTCAGTCATCCAACCCACGTACCCTCAACCCCTTTTGTGTCAGGTGTCCATGGCTTTGCCCTTGTTCTCCATGAAGCGACTCAGCATGAAGAGGCTGTAGTCCAAAGAAAAGGCCAGCAGCACTGAGACCATCACGGGCCTGGGCAATCGAGCCACAGTCAACATTACTTGGGCCATGGGAACAGTTGTCAGCCCCTGCGTTTTGTGGTTGAAACTTGGTGGGTGGCCCATGTCCCTCCTGATGCACCATAGACTACTTGAACATTTGACGAAACCTCATATGTGCCGTGGTCAAAACTTCCTGGTGATGCTGAGGATCTCTTAGCAGGACTCCAATCATGAGTCCCTTAAAAGGAGCCACCGAAACGGTCCGGGCTCCGTACAAGGTACATGACCTAAGCCCTAATGACCAAGCAAGTAGGACAATGGTAACCCTTGCAAGGGCTTAGCATGGTCAGAACCTGCGGAATGATCGTTGGACACTTAAGCCCATCAACCTATATTGCACCCGAGCCGTGTCTTTGCACTAAGCTGATCCTGCACGAAAAGGTGGCAGGCTGACATTTGAGCAGCGAGTTCATGTTGGGCTCATAGACATCAACTGCGGAAGTCAACTCTTGGTGGGGAACCCACCAAACAATAGGGGAACAACCCCACAATATAAGAATAATAGGCAACCTTCTGTTCCAGAATCCAATCTTGCATTCCTGCTGAAGGTTGTTTGGATGGTACTGAGCTCCAGTGGAAATTTGAACCACGGAGCCGAGCGACCCAATCAACATACGTGTCGACATTAAACCTTGCACACTTACCAGGCTGTTTCGCTTTTGATTGGTAGCCCGAGTTGGACACATAGTGGAAGTGGAATAAGAACGTCAGCCATCATTGCTTGCATAGCCATGAGCCACATGACATGTATTTATATACACGTCTATGTTTATTTATGTACAAACGTGTCTATGATATGCTCATTTATGTCTCAGTACAGGTATTCCACATATATATATATATATATATATATGCATATATAATCTGTATAATAGTATACTATATATATATATATATATATTATGTGATATGCTCATTTATGTCTCGGTACACGTATTCCATACATGTGTGTGTATATATATATATATATATATGCATGTATGTTCAATCGCAGTCAACGTCTCTCTGTTCAAGGGTAAATCTGCATGGCACGCGGCAAATTCCCAGGCCCAATGGTTCCCTGGTGGCTTCGCTGACTGATGGCCTCAACAAGAATCTGTGTGTGTGTGTCATCATTCCAAGCAGGCTTGAATGGGTGTGTCTGGCAACAGCGAACACTTAAGTACTCGCGTTGGCTTCCTTTTGGCCACAAGGGTTTGCGCCAATGTCCAAGCCCCGACACCCCAGCAGCCTTGTAGCAAGTTGGCACCAGTCAAGGAGCGATCCAACACCTTGATATGGGTTTGGATGAGTCCGTGTCAAACTAAGGATCACGTTGAGGCATCGTTTGGGGAATTTGCTTGGCGAATCGACCCTGATGAGCAAGGTGTGGCGATGAATTGAATTGGGGAGCAACCCAATAGCCTTCCAAATTAAAGGTCTCAATTCAAAACCGATGTGCAACCCAGAAACTCCCCCCAAACACCTGCAGGGTTCCCAACATTTCCCTTTAGACATCACCCGATTAAGAGGAAACTCACTCTAAGTCAGCCCGAGCTACCGGACGGGGATACCTGAGCCCCTTTCCCGACCTCACGCGAACTCGAAGCCTCGTGCACTCAGCTCAGCCCGAGGCGCGGCACGTCGGGCGAGAGGGGCGTGCTTCGGGCCAGCGGCACACAGCAGGCGGCGCTCATGGCCAAGGACACCAGCAGCACCAGCGGCGGCAGCAGCAGCAGCCGCACCTGCCGCTTGCACTCGCAAGTCCGCAAGTGAAAATCCCTACCCCGAGCGGAAGTCGTGGTGGTTGACATTGGGGGGTGGGGAGCATGTGGTGGCTGCGAGTGAAACAGCAACCCCACATGCTGACTTGAGAACTCCGGAAGCAGTCGAAATTGATCAACCCACTGAGTAAGTGGGCTGTGGCTATGGTTCTAAGACGGACAACTGGAGTTGGATGACATATGACTCATATGACCGCGGTTGCGACCCACTTACTTACAAAATAGGTCGAACATACAAGTGGGGTGACCAATATAACATGGCTTGGAAGTCCAATCCAAATTTATTTTTCAAAAAGGAAGCAAGCAGGAGGCTCGGAATTCCATTACTGTAAGAAACAAGCTCTAATCACTAGATAAATCCGCTTGCAGGAAAATCACTAAGACTAAGAGCAGTTAAAACCCAAGTGAAGGATTACTGACTGGCTTGCAGCCAAGCCTGAGCTGAGTGGGTTGCCATCTTTCTGGAGTGGATATGAGCGGATAGGCTTTGCTGCATACAAATGCTGACCGTCTTCCAAAACCCTCTGGGTTCAAAAACAACAGTATGGGGTGAAGCACACGAGTTCACCAGCCTGAAATCCATAAGGAGCTCCCCCCGAACCATCCCCCAAAAAACACAGGTGGATTGCGGCCGCCCACCAAATCCTTTTGAGAAGTCGAGATCCAACTTGCCACTTAATTTTAAACAATACGTCCTCCGTTGAGGTTTCCCTTCTAAGGGTATCTTCCCCCACGCCGACACCCCGCCTCTCGGATCAGCCAAATGAAGATCAGCAGAGCCAACGGCAGCACGCAAAGCTCGGCACGCAGCAGCAGCTCGATGCTACGGTCGAAGAACCTGCGGGGCTTGCGCACAGAAAGCTTGCGGCTGGCGCGCGCGGCTTCGAGTCTCGGGGGTGTCCAAAACATGAGAAAATCAACCTGCCTCAAAATGAAGCACCCCCTTTTGGATGCTTCTGAAGCCAAAAAGAAACTATCTGGAGGGGCCCGTAATTTGGAACATGTTGAAATTAAGGGCTCTCCAAAATGGTGGCTCTCCTTGTGGTTTCCTTTTGCTGCAACCTACAACGGCCACTCTCAAGAAACCCCCGCGTTATTGGGTGTCACTTTGAGGGTATTCGTTTAAAGGAACGAAAAGGATATCTGCTATGTTTGGGGTCCCTTATTTTGGCACATACCGTCCAAAACCTATTTTAGAGGAAGCATCCCCTTCGTCCTTCCCTTTCCGCCTCTCGTATTCGATCACCGGGTTCCCCGTGAGGAAGAGCTGGGTGTTGGACGGGGGATCCGCCATAAGCTCGTGGAGGAATTCCATGAGCTTTTTTCCTTGTGATGGTTTTCACAAACCACTGGGGGCCCGGGGATTTAGTCGGATTCACCACATCTCAGTTCGCTGAGTTTCTAAACCTCCAGGTGCCATTGCAGGTGGACAGGAGGCTTCCAAACTCTTTCTGTCAGCTTCAATGATGGTTGGATAACTAAACATCCAGGTGTGAACCCCTTGAATAGAGACCATGGCTTGGGAATCCCCTGCGTAAACCATGAGTCCCTCGTCCTTATGAAGAGAATGTTTCAACCACCATGTGCGCCCTCGCTCTCACACTCAGCCGGTCGCTCTGAGAGTTGACCACGGCCAGCCAGCTGGCGGTCAGACAGCCACTGTGACTTGAGGCGATGCATAGTTGAATATCGCTTTGATTAGCCATTTGCTGTACTGTATATTGCGAGACCTTCTCTTGCATTTCTTTGCTTTTGTACACACGCATAGACGCGAAGTGTTTTCTTCTAAACAACAACTTGGGCACCCCAAAACGCACGGGTTCCTTTTTAACTCCCTTTTGCCGAGCTTTGCAAAGGTGCCCCGATAAACACATGCACTGCCGAATCGCGTGCAGATTCCAAGCAGCCGAGCGTCGATAGAGCCACGGGGCGAACACCGTCCGGTTGTAGCCGTCGTGCTGGAAGGTCGCGAACGTGGGAAACGACGTCGGGACCAGGACCAGGACTGTCGTCCTACAAGCATTCCAGGGGTACCTTCCAATCATTCTTTCCAGGATCCTTCTTTTCAGGAAACCATCAGAAACGCAGGGGAAACAGCCGTTTAAAAAAAAAAAAAAAAAACCAAAAAAAAAAAAAAAACGATGGTTGAAAAAAATGGGGAATCAACCTCTAGAAGCATAGTGTGCTGTCATCCCAAATCGGGGCCAAGTACCAAACCGTATCAACCTGAAGTACGCCTTGCTCATCTTGCTACCTCAAGGTGAGCTTGCAAATAGAACAAATTAATACAGCGCCCAGGTGTGCATTCATGGTCATCTTGTAAATAACTCAGAAACCCTGCTTACGGTTCTCTTCAAACTCTAGTTCCTATCCATGGATCCCTGTGCATTCTAGCGGAATTTTGACCCAAACAGAACTGTAAATAAAGTTCCTCCAGGGCATGGGTTGGCGTGTGTTCATTCACTTTGGAAAACGGGACGAGAGTTATAATCTGTTCGTCTGTTTGTCAAACGCGATTCCCTCAACATTGACTACTCAACCTGACTCAAGGAGTAAAAGGACCGTACAAAAGAAAGGAAACCTGAAAATTAATGGACTCTTCCGCAATTGGGAGCCAGTATGGTCCTCTTGTTGATTGTGAAACCCTCCAGTTTCAGCAGTGGGGAATTTGGTCAAGTTGCGGGTGCCACGCCTGATGAGCAAAGTCCTTTGATAAATCCGACGGAAATCATTCATCCGGGCATGTGTCAACATAGGGGGTGCCTTCTTTGGCGGCGTTCCTGTGTTTGTTCTGTAAACAAGCCAAAACAAGTCATCCTCACATGTCTTCTGTCAGAGCACCGGGCCTCTGGTCACTGGAGAGCAGCTTCTTCCGCACCAGGCTCGCGGGCAAATGTACCCCACCCATCTTGTTCTGCGCCTCACTGGGTCTTGGCCTTTTTTGCACAGCCCCGGTCTCACACGCAAGGCATTTGTGTTTGTTCCACAAAAGCAGGCGTCAAATTCTCACCCAGTTGTTGCTGAGGAAAACAGAGAGGCACAGACCATCACAGGCCATTTGGGGGTTCTCCGACTTCAATTCCATGTTGCAAGTAAAGCACCGGGACATCAGGGCTTCCTCTTTCAGAATCATGATTCAACACAAGATTCAAACTTGGACGCCACAAGACCCAGCTGAGTGTTGGCCCCCCTTTTGAATAGAGTCGAGATAACGTGTCTCCGGGCAAATAATTGAGTGGGGAAAAGGGGCCTTCACACAAGCACTGTGGTAGAGGCGATAGAGCGATTCAAAACGGGGCCGGTCTTCAAAACCCCTCCTGCAACAGAAAGGAGGCATGATCCGATGGGCATGGAAAGCGGCTACCAGGGTTCCTTATGCGTGCCCAACTGGTGCCATGGAATCCCGTCGCAAAAAAACCATCGGCCGGCTCCCTTCGCACCGCGTGTGCAGGTGGAGGTGCATAAACGCCAAGGGCGATGGGATGCAGCGGCTCCACCCGCGGGTCGGACATGGAGCTCAGCAGCTTCTCCTCACAGCAAAAGAAGGACGATTGGGTCCCTTTGACAAAAAAACTACAAGGGTGACTTTTGCGCCCCGTAAGGGGTGATTTGGGGTTGGTCCCTTTGCAAGGGTGAGACTTTTGGGTCCCGTTGCAAGGGCTGATTTGGGGGGGTTTCAGGAGGTGTGAAGTGGGGGTTCAGGAGGATCCCAGAAAGAAAAAAAAAAAACATTTGAGGATCCTCAAGAGAGGTGTGGAGTTTTGCTTTGAGTTCCTTAAGAAAGCATGCCCTCTCCCCAACAAACCGCCGTCGCCCACTTCGGGTCTGCTGGGTTCCGAGGGCCCGGCCGTGAAGTGCTGCACCTCCGGCGTGAGCACCGAGCCGGCACCTCGGGACTCCACCCTTCGCCTCCCCAAAAAAAACGTGTTTGGGGGTCCTGAGCTTCAGACCCCCCCCCCCTTCCCCCCACCCCTAGAATTACTAATTTTTGGGGGGTCCCCGGCTCACTCAGCCGTTGATTTTGGAGTCTGTTTGGGAAAATGTTGGAAAGGGTGCAAATGTTTTCAAGCTTGGATTAAACCCCGGCACCTTTGGGAAGCTCTGTCGGGTGCCAAAGAAAGAAACCACCAAAGTACACGGTCAGAGTCCTTTGACGGCACGACTTCGAAAGTGGCTGACGCATAGCCGATCAAACTGTGAATAAAACCAAGCAGATTCCTCTCTGTTGGCACACGTTCTCAGGAGATTCATAAACAAGCGCAAATTTCGCCATCGCATGGAAACCACCGACAACATTTGTGCTGGGCTTGGATTGTCCAGAACCCGCTCCGCAAGTCTCGCTCTTCTTGCACAATCTACACGCATGCGCACCCATAAGACTTTGCTTCATCTTCTTTTGGTTAAACTCCTGTCTTTTGTGGTTATGAGCAGGTTAGGAACACACAAACACACAACTGTGATAACTCGCCAACGTGAAGGAAGCTCTATCATGGGTGCGGCCATTCCCTCCGCGCACGATAACTTCTAGCACAAGCTCCTTGCCGCGCCACTGTGCTATGGTGAGTATTCCCCCCCCACCAAGTACACATAACTGTTTGCATAGCCGTTTCAAACAAGTGGCCAACTACCTTGCGCCTTGAGAGCATCCTTTCGGCAACACCAAGAACCCTTCTACTTTCTCCTGCTTTCCTTCCTCCTGTCCCACACCCTTCTGCTGATCTGCCAGCCCAAACACCTCAACATGACTGGAAATCAAACGGTCAAAGCGTTGGCTTTGGACAAGCAAGTTAGAGTAAGGCCGTGCTATACAAGCCGTGCATAGCCGCAAAGTGGCTGGGTGTTTTATGCTTGATTGACCAACTACACCCTGGGACTACACGCACTGGGAAATGACCCCATTTAGGCATGTCCGGATAAAACCGTGTTATTTTGAACCAGTGTGGGTCATTTTCCAAGGGTGTAATCCCAGGGCGTAATACAAAAACCCTGAGACAAATGCAATTTATGTGTCATGCTTCTAAAAAGATCGCAACAAGAAATTCCCAAGAACAGAGTTCTCAGCGCTGAAGCTCGCCGTTGTTATCCCGTTGCAAATTCACCAAAGGAAGGCGAGCACCAATTGTATATGGAGGACACTTCCCTGCAAAGGACTCGTTTCAAAATGCCCATTTCTCTGCTTTCAGCCGATTGAGCCCTCTACCTCCCCTGGCTTTTGTTGACCCCCGTTCTTGTCGGCCCTCTGCCTGTTTCTCGTTTAAAGGAAACCCAAAGGGGCCAACAACCAGCCCAGGGCATCCCAAAAAACAGAACAGGGACCCGGAGGCGCCAAATTGGCTTAGCTTCAAAGTGAAGCCAACAGGAAAACTGCTGCCCCGCTTTTGGGGCTCCATGTCCTGGTTTGATGCACACAGGACTCCCTCTCCTCCCTCCTCTGCGTCTCAGGCCGGCGCGCGACCGGAGGAGCACCATCACCGGCGCCTCCACCACCGCTGCAAAGTTCGGGAACTTTCGCTGCAGCTCCGCCTCCAAAGCGAAGCGAGGGCGGGGCCACGGCACCCTGTTCGCTTTAGCTGAAAGCTTTGGAGTCTCTGCCGTCGTCTCGAGTCGCAGCGGCTCCGCTCCAGCGAGGGTAACCCGAACATTTCGGGTCTGGGGCTGCTGTTGAGGATTGGCCAGATTTGTGCGATGGTAAATGTTACTCTGTCGAAACTTGCCATTACCACTCTTCTCATGGTTCACTGAAAAGCGACATGCTCGTCTCTCTCTGACTCTCCGAGTAAAGCCCAATTCGGACGTGCCACGCTTTGGTGGCAACCACGCACTGCCCCGGAATTACATCAGGGCGATTTAGGAGAAAACAGGTGGACACTTCATTCAATTGTTTATTGTTTGGGGCAACTGACGCCTCCCACGAGCCTCCCTTGCATTTGGTGAGGAAGGAAAGGGGTCCTCCTTACAGCGTAGACGCCCTGTCACAGGGTGGCCCTGGATTCCCCCAACAAAGGTCAAAAGCAGCATCACTGCTCGCAGGTCAGAGCACCAAACCGCAACAGAAACATACACAACCAATCCTCAGCCAACAATCAGCATAGAAACCTGAAAGAATTCCTCTGGAAGCCGATTTTGCTTATGGGTCTGACCCCGCCTGTGCCAACCTGCCGGGGCTCTGCTTGTCTGCCGCGAAGCCCAGGGGCTGGTGGTATCGCAGCAGCACCGGCACCTGTGCCACAAAACACTGCCTGCAGATCAACAGAGAAACCCAAAAGGCTAAGAATGAGGGTTTTTTAAGGTTCCCACTTAATCTGCAGGGGAGACATGATATAGGGGTGAAATACTTGCAAGTTTTATCCTCCAGTGATCATGAGGTTAGTAGCACCCCATTCCAATTACTATTTAGCCCCTTGTAGTACTCTCCCTGCCCCAACACCCTGGAAAAGCCTGCTCTTGCTTCCCTGAGATATGTCCACCAATCCTTTTAGAGAGTGTTCCCAAGTCATACAAGCCCTGAAAACAACAAACACCACCAAAGATCTGAATCAAGACATGCACCCCGCACCCCCCCCGGGCGCGAGCCCAACAGGTGATGTTTAAACCATCCAAGGAGAGAATCATAGCAAGACCCCCCCGTGGGTCCCCGGCCTGTGGCAGGCCCACGATCACTGTCACCAAAGCCCCAAGCACCACGCACCTCGGCTCCCCTCTCGGTAACATCTATTTGTTTCTTTCCAGCAAAGGGAAAATCATGAAACACCAAAGGATGGAACATCAAGAAAAGCCAGCTCAAAATAGCAAATGGCAAAAGTGCCCGGTTCACTCAAGGGCGCCAGGCAATCCATCGATACTGGCTCGGGTTTGCCAGCTCCTCCTCCTCGGAAGATGACTCCATCTAGCCCCACACATCCCGCACGCGCACTTCGCGAGGCTCAGCGCATGGGCAACAGGCAAAGCAGGCTAGGCCTAACTATGTATATATGTATATATATATATATGTATCACTATGCACATATATATATATATATATGTGCTTGTCTCCCAGGGGATACCGCATGCTTAGGCGGTTTTCACTTGTTTTACCTTTACACAACGACTCCAGCAAAAACTCCGTCAAAAACATATCATGATCATTTCTAAATACTCAAATTGGAACTGAACAGAACATCTGCATCTGCTATGCCTCAAAAGGAGTGTGATCTGCTCGCTAACAGCTATTCTTGCTGGAAACATCCGCAGAACCTCCGAAATGCCATGGTTCGGTGGCAATAAAATCAGCTGCAGCAAGTGCTCTCCCCGTGCAGCTCTGCCTGTCTTCGCCCGGTCTCGCGGTTAGCGGTTAGCACCCTCGCGGGCTTTCCTGTGGGAAATAAGATGCAACTCATTTTGATTGTGTTGCCCAGTGGCCATGACGAAAGTCTGAGGGCGTCCTGTTTTTTGAGGAGACCCACCAAACATTGTGGTTTTCCTCTTGGCTTTCCTTGAAAACCACCAAACAAATGGTAAACGTCAAACCACACACGCACACACAAAAACCCATCTGTTTTCTTCGGGAACCAAAGAAAATAAGGGTGTCACTGAAAGGACAAATCCAACCCACTTGGCCCAACACTTGTCATCAGGCAGGGGTCTGCAAGGCATGCTCCCTTCTTGTCACGCTGCCTTGTCGACTGGACTGTGCGTGTCGCTCATGAAGCCCTGGTGATACAAATGGGAACAAATCAAATTAAGCTCAGGCTACCCTCGACTTGTCCAGTTTGTCTTTTGGTCAGAACTTCCTTGTCAGCGGCCTCTGCACTCCAAGCCCTTCCTTTTCTCGTGGCTTCCACATGGGACCCCAGCCCCGGGGGCCACCACGTGCTTCTCGCTTCGCTTTGCCCCACCATTTCTGAAGGCCGGGAATTTCCGAGGCATTTCTTCGCCCACTTGGAACGACCCCGTCCGCAAGCCTGCGGAAAGGTACGAGGCGGAAAGGTACGAGGCGCAGAACAAAGAAAACAGATTCACCCATGGCTTCGCCCTGACTTCGACCAAATCCAGACATATGGTTATCAACTTGTTGGGGGCCATTTGGTGAACATCATTGTCCCTAAAGATCTAAGTTACCCAATCATTTCTGAGGGGTTCGTCCATGGCATATACCGATCTGAGCGGCAAACCGCAGAATCCAAAGCTTTCCGACATAAACTATATATGTATATACATATATCACATCAGCCACGACCTCCACGCAGGATGCACAGCTGGCCGGAGCGAGGCGCCCCAAACCCCCAGCCGGGCCCGGCTGCCAGGGTTCGAACCGAACCGAAACAATGCACCAAGTTGGCAAGTTAGGCACTGGGGATGGGGATGCTACGATGATAGTTATCGTAATCATGGTGATCATTATCATGTTCAGCTGTACTGCTATGCCGGCAGAACCAACAGGTATTCCCGTACTCGCACTACCCACTAGCGGAGAATAAGCTTTTGGGGTTTCAGGTTTAGTGGTAGTATAACTTCAACGGATCAAGTTGCACCACGAAGGTGCCAAGTTGTTGGGTAGAAAACGGGCACCTGTTTTCTTAGAGGCTGACCATTTTAGTGGCGGCACCAAACCCAAAAAACATGCGCTGAAGGACTGGCAAATCCGCGCCAATTGCGTCTTTGAGCCCTGGCAGCCGCGGCTGGGGCTGGCTGTCTGACAACCAAAGGCTCGCTCTTATGCCAGCTCCTGTTCAGCTGGTTCCCCGCGGCAGTCATGGCTTTGAATTCGGAGGGGTGCCGTTGCCGTTGCTAGTAGACGACCCCTTGTCGCTGTGGATGCATGACCTCGGCTCGTTGGAAGCATCAGAACTGAAACCTGCTTGCAGTTGGGTTGAGGTAGATTGTACAATTGTCTCTGAGTACCTTTGTCATCTTGGTGGTTTCTTGGTGTGTCCCACAACGAATTATGCCATCTGCTTCCACCCTGATGCAAACAAGCAGCCAAGCAGGATTGTCACGTGCTTACTTTCTGCGGTCCCACTCTCCAGAATACAGGTGGATAGAGTCACTCCCCAGAAATCTAACAGATCTCAGAGGCTGCTGTCAAACAAGGTTCACGGCAGCCTGCAGCTCAAGGATTCTGTTGGGACGGGATGTGTGACTGTTGGCCAATAAAACATGCCAGGTTGAGAAGTGCACCTTGGTTGAGGCGCTTCCAATGAAATGACAAGCGGATGCTGGAGTTTGTCTCCCAGCTTGCCTTTCTGGGCTGTAAATGGGGGATCCCTACTCCGTAGATCTGGCGGGTTGATGTTTCTTCAAAACAGCACTCCCCAATGGTACAAAGGATTTCTTTAACCAACTCCAACCCGCACTTAAGGACGGCAGATGTTACCCGGGCCTTGGGCCAAGGCCGAAATGGGATTGAGGCTCGGTACCATTCTTGTTGGACCCACTGATGTTGGCCAAGGAAAACCCTGATTTTGGAGAGTCCCCCATTTTGAGACCGACCCAAATCGATGATTTGAGTACTCAAACAGCTCAAACAAGTATCCGGTCCAAACAGCCCGAGGCCAACAAGGTCGCAGCCTAACGCATTCCTAGCAACGGCTAACGTCTGCCCAATCCGGCCGTTGCCCCTTGGCCTCTTGGGAGCAACGGCCTGCCCAAGAAATGAAAGTGGTTTGTTAGTTGCTTCACTGGCCGGTTTGTTGGTTGATTCGTTAGAAGCCTCTCTCGAGGGCTGCCCCGTGTAGTCCCTCAAGAGGGGTCAAAAGGCAACCCCAGCGAAGCTCACGGACTGATTTCTCGTCACGAAACCGCTACACCTTTGGGGGGGGGGATAGATGGATTTCCGTGTTGATTGTTTTTTGAGCAAACTGAAACCACTGGAATCCATCAATGAAACCAAGCTGAAACCAGAGAGGACACCCTTGTCCCATCTGAAAGAGAGGCCTATCACCCTTGTGGGTTGATCTTAAACCTAGCCCCAAACAAGCGAAAGCTGACCCCCTTTCAACAGCCCGAAGCCGCTCGCGCTCTGAGGTCCCCCGCAGGCTGGCTGTCAGCCTGCTGGGCTCGTCTGCTGCCGTGCAGGTGCCGAAGTAGCGGTCCCCTCGGGCGATGCCCGGGTTCCAGGGTCAGATTTTGTCTCTGAATGGGACCCCCAAACAGGTGGGGTGTCCTTTTTAACTTCCACTTTCAACCAGCCAAAACAAAGTTCCTCCAAAAGAAAAACACGCCAATATAGTGTTATTCAAAGCCGGAAGCGGAGCCGCTGCCTAGTCGTGACTATTAGGGGCCAAGGACCAACAGGTGAGAATTGGGCTGTGCCCCATGCCCTCCCCAAACCAACAAGGGACTACCAATGACAATATCCGCTGCCCATAAGGGTGTGTCCGAAATCACTGGACCCCTTATCATGTGTAGCTTCATGTTTGGCGTCCTTTGTAAACACCACTTACCAGGGGGTCCACTATCGCTAGAACACCCACACGGATCTGTGCTCTAGGCAAGTCAAAGCGGCGGAAGAACTAGTTCTAGGGGCCTCCTATTTTGAGACGAGCCACATGGCGTCGAAGGGATTCCTTTTGGCCCTTGCAAGGAACGACCCACCTGAAACCTTCCGCATTTGGACCTTGAAGGCTTGGGGATAGGACTCTCTGTGAGAAAGTGAGAGCAAAGGCGACCCCTGCCTCATCTGACCGCCCGAACGTGACACGCGGGGAAAAATCTGCAAATTGACGCGAGCGGGCGTCGGAGCATCTTTGGTTTGCTGCGGGCTTCTCAGGTCTTAGCTGCTCTGAGTTTGGAATTGGGTGCTTTTGCGTCTGTGTGGGTTTCAAGCTGCCATGTTACAGACTCCGATGAAGCGGATGTATGAGTTGGCCTCTTCCGACGCTTCCATTTGCAGTGAAAGACCTGCGGTAACCGACCGAGTTGATTTAGCGTCTCACTTTCTTTCTGTTAAACAGGTGATTGGTTCATGACTGCTTCGAACTCCATTTTCCACTGTCTTTGGGGCACTTACGATACGGGTGTGTTTGGTTGAGTTAGCTAGGTCTGCAAAGGGGTCCAAGCTTTGAAGAGGGTCGTTGAGATGGCACTTTCAAAGATAATAAAAGGCGTGGGGTTCTGGTCTAGTTGGCATATCCAGTTGATTGTGATCATGAGCGTGTCCCCTGTGACTGGTGTGTGCTTTGAAACTTTGACTCGACAGCTTGTGTATAGCCGTGATGTGAAGGAGTTTTTCATATATGGTAGCTTTTTGAACCACCCCGCAGAAGGCCACACCCCCTCCCCAGAAAAGGAACACCAAATTTGGCACGCTGCAGGCTAGGGGGCCAAGGTGTGGGTCTTCTGTTTTCCCAAAGCTCCCTAAGGCTTTGTAAGGAACCCTAATAAATTCAAAGGAACCCTAAGGAATCCTAAGGAACCCTAAGGAACCCTAAGGAACCCTGAGGAACCCTAAAGAACCCTAAGGAACCCTAAGGAACCCCAAGGCTCTCTTCTGCCCGCCTCCCTTGGGTTTTCCATCATGGTCGGCTCACGTTGGGAGAAAAAAAGAAGAAGAACAAGACGAGCAAAACGCGTCAGCGAAAGAGGCCGCCGGGGCGCCGAAGTTGCCGATGCCCGGGAGCACGGTTCCTCGCGCGCGCTTGGCGGTCGGCGCTTGGCGGTCGGCGCTTGGCGGTTGGCGGGTGTGGTGTGCCTCAAAGGGAGTTGGACCCCCACAACATGGCGGCATAGGTGTCCTTCTAAAAGAAATAGATGGCCCTGGTAGATGACTAAAGCACCAGGTAAACCAGGGCCATCTATTTTTCTACCAAAACAACCAAAAAGGACACCGATGCATGGCGGTCTCTGCCTTTCTCTCCCCTTAGACCCAATCCTAAAAGAGCTGTCCAAAAACAAAAACACAGACAAGCCAGGGTTGGGCAACGCTGTTGAAATATGCCGAAACTACGCATCCCCGCCCGTTTTTGTTGAGGGAAACAACCAAACAGTGATTAACGGCATTTGTTTTTGTCTCTATTATGTCTATTTTTTCTTGGGGGGTGGGGGGAAGGACTGTTGCTGAACCAGCCTACAGGTAAACTACACATCTCCCTTCAAACAGGACACAGGACCCTGCCTTGCTCATCCAGCTTCTCGTCAATCTCTGTGGTGATCACCTACTTTGCGCGTCTTTTTGGGGAGGGAGAAGGGTTCTGCATCTGGGGTCAAAATAGGGGACCGGGATCCAACACGGTGGTTCTATTTTGGAACGACAAGCTATTTTGAAGCGGGGGTTTGTCATCTGCGTATGCAAAAGTGGGATCCACACGTTGGGCCATTGGCACTTGGATACCCTCCTTAGCATGGTCAGGGTGTAAACATGCAAAAACCCCACTCGGGTGTGCGGGAATTTTGAGGGTGCCCTTTTCCACCTTGGTTGAAAGGGAAACCAAAAGGACAACCACATTGGTCTCCCTGTTTGACACTTACCATTTGGCCTTGCAAGGCGTCTGTCCGCTTGGAGAAAAATCAACTCTGCACTCTCACCTGCTGTGTGCCTTCATTTCGCTGTCAAACTCTGAAAACCATGGCGCACCGCCTTGTGGCAATTCCATAGCCAGTGACAACATCAACCCAAAACCATGAGCTCAAGTTCGATTCTCTTTTCTGACCACTCAGCGTTCCAATACCAACCATGCCCCATAGATTCACGCAATAATGATCCCAAAAAAAGAAGAGGTATCCAAGAAGCAGCAACGAGGGCGCTTGTGCTCTGCTTTGTGCACGTTCACTGTATTTGCAAAGTCTGTTGGAAAACGATCTTGTCTGCGAGTCTGCGACTGGAATTCCTGAGCCCAGAAACGAAGACTGGCACCCTTGCCACCCACATACTATTGTTCCGCGTCAGCTGCAAGCAACCCTAACTTTGCGGTCAGTTACTGGTACAAAACGAGAGCTGCCACCACATTGCCTAGCTCATGTAAAAGCTCACCACAATCCCACGCGAGGTTGGTGCATTGAACATTATCCGTGGGTCATGTTGCGAGGACCCGGGCGAGGGCGTCGGGGCATCTGGGTCTCAAGATCCGGCTGGTTTCCACCGCCCCCAAGTACGACACATGGCGCAGCCCTGCCTTCACGCCGGGAAAATGCTTGCACACCCAATGGATACCTCAGACCCGCTTCCCAAATTGACTATGCCACTTCCCCCTCCAGCCTGGAGAACTCTGCCTCACAAAAGATGCGCCTCTGCAAGTGCCCTTTTGCAAGGTCATTCAGTTCCATGACTCTGAAATGGTGCCAACGCATGCTCACTATGTCAATCTGTCACACCACATTTTGAGAACCCTGTCAACACACATCTTGCAGACATTTGGCACGGGCGTCCCTTTGGCTTGGCGCCAACCAGTGGTTGCCCTGGCAACTAGGGCAGTCATCCGTCCCCGCGGCTGATTGATGCAGGGCTTGACTTTCGAACCCCTTGGTGGGAGAGCAAAAGGCCTTGCTCACATGCCTTCCCTGGCAAGGGTGTCTCGCACGAAATGATAGATGAGCCATGCTGCCCTTTGATGCCGCGATCAAGGTGATGAGGATGATCTTGTCCTCCTTGACGTTGCGGTGCTTGGTCAGGACCTTCAAGGATTCGGCGTTATTGCGGTGTTTGGGCTGATTTCAGGACGCCTCACCAAAACGAAACTGACTCCTCCAAGAATCAAGCCAAGTCGGTCCCGAATTTGGAACCTCTCATCGTCAACGTTTCACCTTTGGATTAATTTGGACTTTCGTGTCTTGAAAAGCGCTTGAAATAATGAGCTCTCCAAATGTCCCATCTGTCAAAGCATGCCGAGGCTTTTTGGAGACCCAATTCGAGGCAGGAACATAAATGTCTTGGAGAGAACAATTAAACATAACAGTGGCTCAAATTCGCTGACTTGGCTTCGAGAGCCACTCACATGACCGGTGAAACCGGGCCTGTCAGTCCCAAACCCGCATGGAAACAGCCCGACATCAGCTCAACATTGGGGCTCCGTGGTGATTCATGTGCACAGAAATACAGGGATCCTTACATTATACACCTGAACATTGCCTTGTAAATGGTGTTTCCCTTTATGTTGGCGGAAAAAGCCATGTTTCAAATGGGCAAAATGTATCTTTTAAGGAGCCCTGCAATACGGCAAAGGCTGGTTGGTCCATTTTTTGCCAAGGACTCCAGAGATGAGGTGAGGGGAAATCGCCCCCCTGGATCCGGACTCACACCCAAACATTGCAAGGACCTCACAACATGAAAAAAGTGACAAGCCGCAAAAGGCAGCATATGTTCGGATGAGAATCTTGTTGGATCCCCACAAGGTCGAAACCCACTGGGTCTAAGAAAGAATCCATTCACATTGAACCCCCAAATAGATTCGAATCCGAATGGCCTGGATAGGACTCCCTTGTTGAGCCGCTTTTGCTCATTGATGAGAGGCCTCGTCCCTTCCCAAACCGGAAATCCAGAAATTCGAATAGGGAAACTCAAAACGCAACCTCCAAAACGGTTACTCCCCCGGGCCAACAAGATCCACATGGCAAACCCTCATGCTTCGAGCCCTACTTTCAGCAATTCGCCCATCTGATTCCTTCCGTGATTTCCACACGGCCCAAACCGAACCAAAACCACCGCCGCCCCACGTTTTTCCCCGGCCAAACCTCCGAGCGGTCGGCTCTCGGCTCGACGTGCTGCGTGCTGTTACGCGCCTCGATGGCGGCGGCCACGGTCTTGCCGCTGGCCAGGATGGGGTCCATCAGCAGCACGTGGCGCTCCGCGATGTCGAAGGGCAGCTTCTCGTAGAGCACGTGCAGCCCCCTCCCGGGAGGAGCACATCCGGTGTGCTTTCCTTTTTTTGCTTTCGGCGCCCGTGTTGGGTGCAGGAGGGCGGACACCGAAAAAGGAAGAGGGCGTTCGTTTGATGAGCCTTTACAAAGGAAAAAAAAGATACCCTCACCAGACTTGAGGGGTCGACACCCAGAAAAAAAAGCGTTACGTGGCGGGTAGTGGCTTGGAATGATACATATTGGATATCCAGGGGTTGCTGTGAGATGAGGTAAGTTCAGGGAGACCACTTGTTACAGAAATGGTAACAAGTTGCTTTTAAACACACATGGGATGCGGCAATGTCGTTGGCTCATGTTTAAACGGCTCAACCGTTTTGATGTTTAACAACACTTGTTTAAACGTTCCACTGACACACAGCGAGCAGCAAACCTGGTGGAATTTTGGGGGCTCGTTCAATGGCTAAACGCTCCCTGAGCCCCGTGCTAATGAAAGCACTACCACCACCGCCATCGCCACATAAGGAAAATATCATCGTTCACACGTTTAAACATGCTTGAATGGTCCGCCTGAACAGTGTCTACCAAGGGCTGTTTACACACCGTTTCAACGCTTGAACATGTTTGAACGGTCCGCCTAAACAATGTCTCTCTCAGGGGACGTTTGAACGTCGTTTACACGAAGTTTAAACGATTAAACACGTTTAACCTTTTTTAAATGGCCGGCCGAAACAGGTGCTCCCTTGGGCCCTTTAGGGGGCCGTGAAATTGACGGCGGGCCTGCTTGCAATATCCGCCTAAACAATGTCACGCACCCCAACCGTTTTAACTGTTTTCTGTTTTAACATGTTTAAACGGCCTGCCCAAATGCCAAAATGCGCTTCAACACAGCACGCTGTACACTGGCGCTAGCGAATAGCTTTCCCGAGTTAAATCTTTAGATAAACATGGCCGCCCCTGCCAAAATCTGGTTTTTGTGAGTGGCTTGGCGCTGATAGCTGCTTTGTACGGGGCACTGCAAACTGGCCATCCGGGCTTCAAATCTGGGGGTCTGGTCTTTCTGAAGTCTTCCTTAAACGACCACACGGAACACGGAGGCAGGGGGCATTGGGATTTGCATCAACTTTGTTTTTTGTAACTGGATGGTTCTTCCTGCAAATCCGGTACCGCTGCGGTATGGACGTGTCAACACATGTTTAAACATCTTCTGGTTGGCATGATGT